TTGGGCTTTGCCTGATGCATGGTACCTGTTTTTTATTGCTGTTTTAAGATTTTTATTTACTTTTAGAGAGGGGAAGGGAAGGAGAAAGAGAGGGAGAGAAACGTCAGTGTGTGGTTGCCTCTCATGAACCCCCTACTGGGGACCTGGCCCACAGCCCAGGCCTGTGCCCTGACTGGGAATCGAACTGGCGACCCTTTGGTTCCCAGGCCTGAGCCACACCATCCAGGGCTGCACGTTCTGTTTCGACAACCTCGTCAGTCTGGAGCGGCTCTGGTTTGGACTTCCCCAGTGCCTGTCAAGTGTGGGGTCCATCCTGGGTGGCAGGAACTCTGACAGCCAAGTCCTGGATCTGGGGGAGGGGGGGCGGCCATTGCCTGGGGCTCCCCGCTCCTGGTGGTCAGTGGACTTGGGCCGGGAAATCTCACACCGGACTTCATCCGCAGGGTCGGGCTGCGGGGCACGGCCGCTCTGGGATTGAGAGCCCCCAGTGCGGGGCGGTCTTTGTTTCAGGGCTCACTCCAGGCCTTTATCCCCTCTCTTTGCGGGGTGCCCCCGTCTGCCTCAGGTTCTGTCCCAGATTGGGGGATCCACAGGCTTCACCCCAGTGCCTGGATCTCCTGTTTAGGGCCTGATTCTAGGTTTGTCCCCATCTCTGTTTCCTATTTGGGGGCCCTGGTCTGGGGGTCCCCAGCAATCCCATGCGGAGGTGATCCCAGTCTCAGGTGTTGAGGTCTGATCACCCAAGCACCCCAATCGTAGGGCACAGGAAACATACGTATCTCTCTGTTTTGGGGGGTGGGGGGGTCTCGGGGTTGGACACCAGTACCTGCAGCCTTAGGGGTCTCAGCCTCGGGCACCCCACAGGTCTACTTCCCGTACCTGCTCATCAGCAAGAAGCGCTATGCCGGCCTGCTCTTCTCCTCCCGGCCGGACACCCACGACCGCATGGACTGCAAGGGCCTGGAGGCGGTGCGCAGGGACAACTGCCCCCTAGTGGCCAACCTCGTCACTGCCTCGCTTCGCCGCCTGCTCATTGACCGGTGGGTGTGGGGTGGGGGGCGCCTGGATCCAAACCTGAGGCCAGGCCCCGGGTCTCCTCCCGCAGCCCCAGGAGCCCCAGCCCTCCCTCCCCGGGGGCACAGGTGGCAGGCCAGCAGCTTCTCGGTGCAGAGGAGTGTGGGGTTGGACAGCTGTGGGCTTGTGGCCTGTGGCTGGGCCCTCAGCAGCCACTTGCGATGTCCCATCTGGCCCACAGAGACCCCCAGGGTGCCGTGGCCCACGCACAGGACGTCATCTCAGACCTGCTGTGCAACCGGATCGACATCTCGCAGCTGGTCATCACCAAGGAGCTGACCCGCGCGGCCGCTGACTACGCCGGCAAGCAGGCCCATGTGGAGCTGGCCGAGAGGTCCGTCAAGGTTGGGGGAGGGGGGGTTGTCTGGACCATCTAGAAATAGCCCTACCTGCCAGCTGAGCCCGCCACTTCCTGGCTCCTGCCCGCCCTCACCCCCAGCCTCCCCGCAGGATGAGGAAGCGGGACCCCGGGAGCGCGCCCAGCCTGGGAGACCGGGTTCCCTACGTGATCATCAGCGCCGCCAAGGGCGTGGCTGCCTACATGAAGTCCGAGGTCAGGCCCACCTGGGCTGCCCACACCCGCCCTGCCCTCCCCGCTCTCACTTCTGCTTTCCGAGCCGGTGGGAGGGTGTTTCCCTCCGTGCGCCCCCGGGGGCCCTGGCAGCCGCCCCCAGCACAGCCGGGAGTCGGCTCCGTGATGCTCTGCTCCCAGGCCTCTCTGTGCCTTCTGAAGGGTCCCCCTGCCCCCACCCCCGTCCTTCTGACCCCTCCCTCGCTCCCCCTGCAGAGGCATCCAGCCTCACTGCACACAGCCTCCCTCCACCTCCGCCCATTTCCAGGTCCCTCTCTGTCTCCTCGACCCTCGTTCTCCAAACCTCTGGTTCCCGCAGATCCGCACCCACCCCTGTCCTGCCCAGATGTCCTGTGACCTCTGACCCCCACACTCCGGACTCAGTCCCTAGTTCTCATCCAGCCTCCGACGACAGTCCTTGTCCCCCTTCATCATCACCGTGAACGCGGGTCCTTTCCTGGTGACCTGAGGGCCCCACCTGTGGATCACAGCACCTGCGGCCAGGCGTCCCCTATGACCTGTGACCTGATCCCAGGCTGGCCACTCCCCACAGGACAGCACCGTGCCCAGTGACCGCCCCACACCGTGGTCCCTGGTCTGACTGGGGGACCCATCAGTGGTCTCGGTGCCCTTCGCCCCAGCATCCTGCTCTCCGCTGCCCCGCCCCTGCCCCCACTGCCCTGGCCCTGCTGTGGTGTGACCCCGCCGCCGTCCGCTCTGCCCGCAGGACCCCCTGTTCGTGCTGGAGCACAGCCTGCCCATCGACACGCAGTACTACCTGGAGCAGCAGCTCGCCAAGCCGCTCCTGCGCATCTTCGAGCCCATCCTGGGCGAGGGCCGCGCCGAGGCCGTGCTGCTGCGTAAGGGGCGCCCGGGGCGGGCGGGGGCGCCTGGGGGCTGCGGGGAGGGAGGACACCTGTCCACGCCTGACCCCACGCCTCGCCGGCAGGGGGGGACCACACCCGCTGCAAGACCGTGCTCACCAGCAAGGTGGGCGGCCTCCTGGCCTTCACCAAGCGCCAGAGCTGCTGCATCGGCTGCCGCACGGTCCTCGGCCACCAAGGTGAGCGCAGGCCGCCACCCCCCACCCGTGACGCGGCCCCCCACCCTCCATCCACCTTTGCCCAAGGTCCCCAGCCCACAAGCTGGCACTGCTGACCAGACAGGGCGCTGCCCCTGGGTGGGGGTCTCCTCTGCAGTCACCCCGGGAGGGTCCTGGGCCCCCCACCCTGGGGATTCCCCAGGGAGTTTTCCCCACACACTCGCTCCCTTGTTCTCTGTCCCTGGGGACTTTCAGGAGTCGGGATGGGCAGCGGGCGGGGAAGGGGCAGGGACGGAGTGGCCCAGACCCTGGCCGGGTCCCAGCTCCGTCCAGCTCTCCCGTGCTGACCACGCCCACCCCCCAGGAGCTGTGTGCAAGTTCTGCAAGCCCCGGGAGTCGGAGCTCTACCAGAAGGAGGTGAGGGGTCTGGCTTGCGTAGGGGAGGGGGTTCGGGGGTGGGGCAGAGCCAGGGCCGCTGCTCAGACCCACCGTCCCCAGGTGTCCCACCTGAACGCCCTGGAGGAGCGCTTCTCACGCCTCTGGACCCAGTGCCAGCGCTGCCAGGGCAGCCTGCATGAGGACGTCATCTGCACCAGGTGCCCCTGCCTGGCGGGCCCCCTTGCCCAGCACCCTGACCGTCTGCTCAGGACTCTCTGAGCTCATGGAGCTAGGGCCCAACTCCAGGGTCTCAGGAAGCAGCGTGCGTGCATGCACAGACACACACACACACACACACACCCCGTGCCCCCCGCCCCCCCTCTGCACGGTCTCACTGACCCTCAGCGTCCTGGCCTGCCAGATGGGCCAGTGCCCCTACCAGAGGGTGGGGGCTACTGAGCAGGGCAGGGGCAGGCACCCCCTGTCCGCCGGGAAGTGGCTGCGCGGACCCCCTCCCCCCCGGGTGGGGCCGGGCTTTCCCCAGGGAACGGGTGGGCGGGGCGGGTTCCCACGCCAGGTGACAGGTGATATACGGCTGGTGCCCCAGGGCCTCAGCGGGCACCCGCTGTTAACGGCTCACACCCCCACCCCACCCCCGGTGCCCGCTGAGCAAACAGCCTGGGAGGGGAGGGGGGCGGTGGGCAGCAGGCTGGGGCCAAAGTCCTGGGAACGGTCCCACTCCATCAGTGGGCCGTTCAGCGGGGCTCAGGTGCAGCCCCAGGCAGCCAGCCCTGACCCTGACCCTTGACCCCGCCCACAGCCGGGACTGCCCCATCTTCTACATGCGCAAGAAGGTGCGGAAGGACCTGGAGGACCAGGAGCAGCTTCTGAGACGCTTTGGGCCCCCTGGCCCGGAGGTCTGGTGACCTCTGACCTCTGCTGGCTTCCCCTGAGGGCCAGGGGGGGTGGGATTGGTGGAGAATCAATAAAGTTTGGGCCTTTTGTTACCTGGTGTTTTGGGGTCGGTGTCTGAGGGCACAAGGTCCACCGTCAGGCCCTGGCCCAGGTGGGGTGCTTCTCCTCTCTAGGACCCCTGACCCCCAGGATGCCCCCACTGGACCCCTTCTCCTCTGTGCATGGCCCCTGGGCTCCCACCTCTGCTGCCCGCCTCAAGGGCTAGGTGCCTCAGTGTCCCCCTGGGGACTGTGAGCACCTATAGGCACCCACTCTGCCCTGCCCACCCTCCCTGGGGGCCAGCTGGCCTCCAGGTGCCAGCCGGTTTCCTCCGGGCCTGGGGCAGCCCCTGGCACGGAGGTGCCCACTCCCCACCCGACCCAGGGGCCTCCCCTCCCACGTCACACCCACGATGTTTCCACCTGAGGGTCCACATCCGCTTCAGAGCTGTGTTTTCCTCGGGGACAGGCCCCCACCTGTGACCCCGACGTCACCGGCCAAGGGCCCCTCGGCTGCCCCTTCACTTTTTAGGGGTCCCCAAAACCCGTTCTCCCATCTCCCCTCAGGGTTGCCCTCTGGGCTCCCAACCATGGGGATCCCCAAATCCAGAGGGCTCCTGGGCCCGCCTCCCTGCCACGTGACCCGGAGGTTGTGCAATCCAGCCCCCTCCCCCGACCCCCTCCCTGAGGGGATTTTCGAGGAGGGCTGAGCTCACAGCGCCCTGCCGTCCAGGGGGCCGGGCCGAGGTATAAATACGGGTGGTGGCTGCCGGAGCGGCAAGCCCAGCCCTGCACCACCATGCTCGCCCTGGAGGCCGCACAGTGAGTGAGACCCCTGCACCTGCCTGTGGGGCCCAGCCCGCGGCACCCCCAGCCCCTCTGCCAGGCCTCCCCCAGCGGTGGTTTCAGGTGTCGGCCCGCTTTGGGGGTGCAGGGGCCCATGCTCACAGCTCCCCATCTGGGTCTCTTTTTTCCCTCTGATTCTCTCCTCATCTGGTTCTCTCCATCCCCTCCCTGCCTGCACTCGGACCCCACCGACCTTGTGAAGCTTGTCTCTCCCCACGGCTGTTGTCTCCCAGGGGGCCTCCATCTCTGTCTGTCTGTCTGTCCCTGGGTCCCACTCACTGTCCGCTCTGTTTCCTGCCTCACCTTCATGTCTCTCCTTCACCTATTGCTCCCCCTGTCCATCTGTCTCCGCTTCTCTCCAATTCTTTGTCCACCTGCCTCACCCGTCCTGTCCCCCACGGGCCCCCCACCCCATCTCTGTCTATTCTGGGCCTCACTCAGTCCTTACGTCCCTGTGGACACGTCTCCCCACCTTCCTTCCTCCCCTGCTCTCTCCAAGTGCCCCCACCGAGCCCCAGTCTCCCCACCTCGGCCGGGGCGCCTCTCCCACCCTCTCCCCGTCCAGGGTGGACCCATTGGACCGACTGGCCAACGGAGGCCCCACCCTGCCCCCCCGCTTGCCCACTGGCACCCCCATCTCTCTGGGGACTTTCTCTCCCTCACTTTCCCTACCCCCCCACCAGCCTCTCTCTATGCAAATCCCAAGGGGAGGGGGGACATTTGCCTGGCTCCCGCCCCCCACTTCCTGTCCCGGTGGGGGAGTGGGGGTGAGTGGCGGGGCTGCTCTCACACATGAACACAGAGAGCGGCTGGTGGTCACAGCTGCAGCCGCCTCTGCCCCGCCGACCCCAACCACTTCGAGACTCAGGTGGCGGAAGGCACCCCTGACATGCCCTTGTGTGTCTCCCCCTCCAGGCTTGAGGGGCCACACTTCAGCTGTCTGGTGAGTTGGGGCCCTGGGGCCGGGAGGGGTGGGAGGGCGCACATGGCCCCTCTGTGACCGCCCTGCCTCAGTTTCCCTCTCCACTCCTTACTGTCACTTTATCTTCTCTGACCCTCCCTCAGTGTCTTCCACCAACACCCTCCCCCCCCTCAATCCCCCCGCCCCCTGCCCCAGCTCTGGCACAGCTTCTTTTCCGACATCTTTCTCCTTCTCTCAGGCTCTGGGTCCACTTCCCTGGGGCGGGGTTGGGGGGGGGCAGTTCTTTGTGTCCTTGCCCTTCCAGCTCTTTCCCTGTCCATCCCACATTCAGCAAGTCTATCCCTCTTTCCTTCTCTTGCTTTACATTTTCAAAATTTTGGAGTGTCATATATCAGACGTGCACTACAATACCTGAAACCCACAGTCCAGTCCGGGAAATAAAATCTCACTCGTGGCCTTGAAAGACACCCCCTTTGGGTGTCCCGCCCTCCTCCTCCTGATGAGTTTTGCTTTTTTGAGAAAGTGGAGGCACCACGACTTACTAGGAGCTGGTTAAATGACACATCTGCTGTTCAGCTCGGTGAGGTCTGACCTTAGGCACACTCCTGGGCAACCTCCAATCAGAGCAAGATGCAAACGTCCTGTCAATACCCCCTTGTGCATCGATACCCCTCTGATTTTTTCCACCATGCGTCAGTTTTGCCTGGTTTTGAACTTTCCGTTAAGTGCATCCTGCAGAGTGTCCCCTTTTGGGTCTGTCTTCCTTTGCTCAACACCAAGCGTGTTTCAGGCATTGGCTCTTTTTCCTGGCTGTATAGTACTCCACCCCAGCCCTCACCCCTGGGGCTATCTCCTGCTTTTAATAAAGCTGCTCTGCTTATTCTTCTTAAACTAGGCTATTTTATGGACCTACATTTTCAGTTCTCTTGGGTTCCTACCTAGGAGTGAGTTTGTTGGATCTCAGGATGGTCCGTCTCCAGCTTTAGTCTTGACGAGACTTCAGTTGCTAAAGCAAAGTTGATTGTTGGGATGAATCGAAGCCACCGAGGTGGATAAAGGCAGCACTGAGGCCTTGCTTCTGCAGGAGAGCTTCCGCCCCCTCACCCTTCACCCCCCGCCCTCAGGGCAGGCAGGGCTGGGGGAATTCTTATGATATAGTGACCGCATTCCAGCGAGGGGCTGGGGCTCCTGGGAGCCCGCCGTGTTAGCAGGAACTGGCTGCCGCCTCTCACTGTCTGTGTGTGTCTCCCCCTGGGTCCCCGTGGGTTTCCCACGTTGCGTCTGTCTCCTCTCTCTGTCTCTCGCGCTCTGGCCGTGTCTCTGTGTCTTTCTCTGAGTCCCTGTGCCTCTCTCGCTCCTTCTCCCACCTCCTCTCTCCTGTCCCTGTTGAAGTCTCCCACCCGGTCCGGGGTGGGGGGCCGGGGCTCCTCATGACCTGCCCCCTTCGCCCCACCCATCAGTACCCGGATGGAGTCTTCTACGACCTGGACAGCTGCAAGCACTCCAGCTACCCTGACTCAGAAGGGGCCCCTGGTGAGCAGCCCTGGCCCAGACCCCTCCCCATGAGTCCCTTGGGTCCATTTCACGGGTGGGCAGCCAAGGCTCCGAGCGGGGTGGGGGCCGTCCCATGGCAGAGCGGACCGAGGTTAGTGCAGACCTGCGGCCCCCTCCCCCGTCCTCTCCCGCAGCGGGCGTCCATGCAAATCCTGGGGTCAGAGATTTGCACGGCCCACAATGGCCCCTCTGTGCTAGGGGCTTCCAGGGGGAGGGTGCCACGGCAGGACCTCCTGGCTCCTGATGCGGTGCCCTTCCCCCAGACTCCCTGTGGGGCTGGACTGAGGCCCCGGCTGTCCCTGCCACCTCCTATGAAGTCTTCGACCCAGCTGTGGTCACCTTCGGCCACCCCCAGGATGTCCAGCTCTGTTACGGACCCTCCTCGACCTACGCCCCTGTGGGGAGCCTGGAGTCAGCCACCAGCCTGGAGGCCCCAGGGCCCGGCTTCCCAGCCTACCCCACGGAGGACTTCCCTGGCCAGGTGCGCGGCAAGGAGAGAACTGGAATCCCCACCATTTGATTGGCATTTGCTGGGTGCCAGGCGCTGACTCCCTCCCTCAGACCAGCCTCTGAGGTGGGGAGCTGTGAGTGCCACATCACTCGGACCACCCGGCAGAGGCACGGGCGCGGTGGCTGTCACCCGTGTGGCGCAGGCTTCCGTGGAGGTGGTCCGGGTGACCCCTGACCCCGCTATCGAGGTCTGAGCCCAGCCAGGGTGCGGGCTATGAACAGTGGGGAGGCCCACAGCCTGGGCCCAGGAGGAGGAAGCGGAGGGAGGGAGAGAAAGGGGACCCCCTTCCTGCAGGTGACCCTGACCTTCCGTAGACCCTGGGTCCCCCGGCCTATGCCCCGTACCCCAGCCCCGTGCTGTCAGAAGAGGAGGATCTCTTGCTGGACAGTCCCGCCCTGGAGGTCTCGGACAGCGAGTCGGATGAAGCCCTCGGGGCTGGCCCCGAGGGCAGGGGATCCGAGGCAGGTATGTGGGAGCAAGTGGGGAGGGGGGCTCCCACTGGAGATGGGAGGAGGGGCTCAAGGACCATGGCTTCCCAAGTACCTTCTACTCCAGCACTGAAGGCAGTATCCAGATTGCTGTGTGACCTTGGGTAAGGGCCTCTACCTCTCTGTGCCTTGCTTCCCCATCTGTGCAATGGGGATGACTGCTCCCGGTGGCTGGGAGAACTGAGTGGGAGAATATTGTAAATGAGATGGCAGCACTTGGCACAGAGTCTGCGCTCAGTGGCTCTTCACCATCATTGTCGACATAACAGCGGTGGAAATAGTCACAATCTTAGCTCTCTAGCGAACCCCTGCTGCCGCCCCCCGCACCCCCCCTGCCCAACATCCATTAGGTGCCCCCTGGGGGAAGTCGGGACCCATAGCAACTTTATCTGAGCCTCGGTTTCCAATCTGTAAAATGAGTCGTCGCCGCCACCCCCATGTCTGGGGGTTATGGTGGAGAGGAACGGAGCTCATAATTGTAAAGCCCCTGGCATGAAGTTTGTAAAGGTAAAATACACACACACACACACACACACACACACACACACGCACGTAAGCCTCACTTATAGCTGAGGAGACACCAGCTCAGAGAGCTTAAGTAAGTCACCAACCACCCCAGGGTCACACAGCCAGGAAATGGCAGAGGCGGGGCTCTTGCATCCAGTGCTCCGCTGTGGCCACCTGCCCCAGTTCTGAAGGAGCCAAGGAGTCCGAACTCCTGGCCTCCTCCAGGATCCCAGTCCCCTGCGGGGCTAAAAGGCGGGGCTAAGAGGCGGGGAGGTGGGAGCTGGAGAACGGCCAGGGAGATTCAAACCCGCCCCAGGTCTCTTCAGCACCAGCCGGCTCTCTGTTGCAAACCTCTGAGGCCCTTTGTTGACCCATTTCACAGAATCTCTCATCCTGGGCTCAACGAATATGTATTCCTCTGCGTTGGCCACCCAGCAGAGCACAGGGTAGAAGCAAACCCTGAAAAAGGAAGCAGGGAGGGGCCGTGGGGGTTCTGGGGTAACAGCTTTAGGCCGGGAGAGGAGCTTGCCAGCTTTTGGGCAGGGCACAGCCACCTCCCTCCCCCTCAATTCTCTGGGGGAGGCGGGGCAACTGAGGCTGGGCGGGGCCAGGGCGGATGAGGGGGCAGGGTTCGCGGAACACAGTCCCTAACGTGCTCACTCCCCCAACCTCGCAGGCGCCCGCAAGAAGCTGCGCCTATACCAGTTCCTGCTGGGGCTGCTGACTCGCGGTGACATGCGCGAGTGCGTGTGGTGGGTGGAGCCAGGAGCCGGGGTCTTCCAGTTCTCCTCCAAGCACAAGGAGCTCCTGGCGCGCCGCTGGGGCCAGCAGAAGGGCAACCGCAAGCGCATGACCTACCAGAAGCTGGCCCGCGCCCTGCGCAACTACGCCAAGACCGGCGAGATCCGCAAGGTCAAGCGCAAGCTCACCTACCAGTTTGACATTGCGCTGCTGCCAGCCGCCCGCCGGGCCTGAGCCCCGCGGGGCTCTGGGGGCTGTTGGGCTCCACGCTGGTATCACGTTGGTGTCCCCTCACCCTAGGTCATAGGACCCGTGGATCCCCCACTCTGTGGGGGTGGGGGGGCTGCCATAACCCCTAAGCCCTGCCCAGGGCCCCTCTGGGATTCCCTGGTCGTGTCCAGGGTCCCCAGGATCTTCAGGGCTTGGGTCGCAGGACCCATCGATGACTATGTGGGGTGGGGCGGGGCAGTGCTCCCAGAACCCCAAGAGCTTCTCCGGGATCTCCTTGTCTGACGTCCCCCAACCAGGCTGGGGACCTCGCTGAGATCTCTTGTATGTCTGTGATCCCTCAGTCCCACGTGGGGGAGGGGGAGGCCACAGGTTTTCACACCAGAAGGGGGAACTGCCAGCCACCGAAAGCCCTGTCCAGGGTCTCTGAGATCCCTGCTCACGAGTGAGTCCCTCCTGTCAAATCTGGGATCTTCTGGTTATGACTGGGGCCTTCTGGGACCCCTGTATCATGTCTCAGATTGCCGTGCCCAGCTGTGACTCTCGTCCTCTCTGTCCCCTCAGATCTCTTGGTCATCATCTTTGAGATCCCGTAATTTGTCTGGAATTGTTCTTCTCTTTTTTTTTGGTGTGTGTTTGGAATTCTCCAGTCACGTTTAGGGAGACTCTCTGGCTTCTTCCCATTGTGTCTGAAAGCGATGGTCAGGTCTGCGGTGGGTCATGGAACCTCATGGAACCCTGGCTGTCTGTGCCACCTCCGGCCTCCCCTTGTCTGCTGAGATTCTCCAGTCACATCTGTGCCCCCACAATGGGATTTCCACTTGATATGCCCTTTTCGGGGCCCCACCAGCGGCCCTGAGTTGTCATGGCAACCCCCCTCTCTCCTGGGGTGTCCTCTGTTGGCCCATGCCCCGGGCGGGAGGGTCATTCTGGCCACTCAGCTGCTTTCTGGGTGACCTTGCCCCCACCATCACTGTCATTTCTAACCACAGGTCCCAAACTGGTGACTCCGCACCCCATGCCTTACCCCTCACGGGGCAAATCAGGTCCCCCCCCCCATGATCTTTTCTTTAGTTCACTTTACAGTTTTATTTTTGTTTCTTTTGAATGGGGGATCCAAATGAGCCAATATTTTAATAGAGGTTTCCACGAAATCCTTCACTTAAAACTTTGCACAACCCAGTGACCAGCTTTGCGGTGTGAAGAGAGGCTGGACCAAGGCGTGGCCCTACCAATGGGCCTCTGTCCTCCAGCCCATCCTGGACCCCAAGCCCCTCAGCTGTCATGCCCTGGCGACTTCTTTCAGTTGCCTTGGCCCTGGACCATTTGCATTTCAACCCCTGGTGTGACCCCAGCTGGAGGTGAAGTCTGGCTGGACTGTGGGTGTTCTGATTAAAGACCCGCTCCTCCCGGGCTTCACAGTCAGAGGCTGCTGCTGAGCGGAGTCCAGGTCCCTGAGCCTGGGTGGCTGGGGGACCTCAGGTCAAACGTTGCCTCTGGGCTTCCATCATCCCTTCTGTGAAAGGGAGTCCTGCCCGGAAGTCCGTTGCAGCCCCTGTGGGCGGGCCTGTGATACATCTGAAATCCACCCCCCACCCACTGCTGGCCAGGGGGGCGAGGAAGGAGAAACTCGGACCGGGAAGTGGAAAAGATCCTCACAGGAGCAGGAAATGGCTGGGAGCAGAGCCCAGGCTGGGACTTGCCCTGGAGAGAAGGACAGCCCCCCTCCCTACATGGGGGGAGGGGACAAAATGTCCTCCCCAGGGCCTCTTGCAAATGAGCTAGTTACCTTTTGCAAAAACTATCATCACCCCAAGCATGGAATGGAATTAAATAAAGTAAAATAAAATAAAACAAATCAAGGTAGACAGACCTTCTTCTAGAACCCTTTGTCAGGGACTGCTGTGCTGCTGGTCGGCCAGGACCTGCTGGCCCTCAGGGACCGTGGGACACTGAGGCAGTTAGAGCCGGGCCAGGCTGAGCCTTGAAGGCCGTGTAAGGGGCTCTTCCCTGCCCTCCCTCTGCTTCCCTTTCTGGCTGGGCATCTGCCCCTCACCCCCAGCCCCTCTTCTAGGTTTCTGTCCTCCCTCTCTGAGTCTCCGTCCCCCTCTCTCGGGATACAGCCCGAGGGCTGGCGGTGCTAGGCGCCTTCCTGGCTCCCGCGTCTCCACCAGCCCTCCGGGCCCGCAAGGAGCGCTCCGGTGGTCTGCCTAGCAACTCGTGACGCCACGGGAAGGCTGCCGCCGGGTTGGCTGGACGCTCCAGGAAGGCGGGGAAGTTTCCGGCTCAAAGGGGGTTTTGGAAAGCCGGAGGGGGCAGACGGGCGAGAAAACCTGGAGGGGCTTGTCTTTCTTTATACCGGGTCCCTCACCCTGGGACAGCACCTCCCAATCACCCGATCCTTCACCTTAACCCCAAGCCCGCCACACCCTTCTTGTCCCTCTCTTTCTCACGTTGCCCCTCCTCCCATAACACCTGGGGTCTCCAAGACCCTCTCTCCCCAACCCCCTCCCCCGACGCGGCATCCAGCCACCACCACCCCTCATTCAGAAAGCCACAGGTCCCCCTGCCGGGAAGGGCGCCAGCGTCCGGGCACCCCTCCAGGGCCTTCCCGGCCTCCCCACCCGCCCCCGCTGTCCGCACGCGCGACCGGTGCCCGCCGCGCCCGCTCCGGGAATCGTCCTCAAGAGCCGTCAGGGCGCGGTCCCAGGAGGGGCAGCGGCCAGTCCGGGGCCCCAGGTGGCCGGGTCCCCAAGCCTGGGCTTGTGCTCGCTTCCGGGGACCTACATCGGAGTCCTGGAGCCTCAGTGCCCCCTGCGGGCGCAGAGACCTCCTCCCCCGGCAGCCGTCCTGCCTCCTCTGGGAAACCGGGCCCTCCCCCCCGGGCTCTGGTTTCCCGAAAACTACTGACTTGCAGATACTAAGAATGGCTTTCTAGACCCTGTCTTCTCCCCACCCCCACCCAGGAGTTCAGGCCCTCATCCTTCTTTCCCCCAGCACCCAATAATCTGGACTGCAGGTCCTCTCTGCCCTCGGACCTCCTCCCTTTGACCCAGGAGTCCAGACCCCCGGCCCCTCCCCCCTCGGACCCAGGAGTCCAGGTCCCCGGCCCCTCCTCCCTCAGACCCAGGAGTCCAGTCCCCGGCCCCTCCCCCCTTGGACCCAGGAGTCCAGGTCCCCGGCCCCTCCTCCCTCGGACCCAGGTGTTCGAAGACATCCCCCTCCTCCCCGGGGACCTGGCGGTCAGCCATCTCTCCTTGGTCTGTCTGTTATTTGCTCCATAGAACAGGCGGACCGCGGGCTGGCAGGGGAGGGTGGGAAGGCCACGGATGCCTCCCGGGGCCTCCTGGGAGTCACTGCACTGTTTAAAGAGTCCCCCTTGGAGGCCCGCTTGTCCTCCCCAGGGCCCAGAGGGACACAGCTGCGGTCAGCGGAGCCGGAGTTTGCCGTTATGCCTGAGGCAAAGCCAGGTGGCTTCCAGCGCCCCCTCCCTGAGTGGAAATGGGTCCTCCTTTGTGAACGGGGACTAGGGTCTCCTCTTTTTGTGATGTCGGGAGAATGGGGCGCCTCCTCTGTGTGGGGGAGGGGTTTCCGCCCTTGGGTGGGGTGGCTGTCCCATATCTGCGTTGGGCCGAGGGTCCCCTTTCCCTGTGCGGTGAGGGGATTTCTTTGTAGGGAGGTAGAAGGCCAATCTCTGGGTGCAGGTGGAGTCTGATTATGACCTTGAGCCCTTCTTCTGGGTGGGGGTGGGCATCCTGGGTGTGAGTGTGTGTGTGTGTGTGTGTGTGTGTGTGTGTGTGTGCAGACTGTGGAGTGTGCCTGGCGATGGGGTCTCAGCAGAGCCACTTGTCTGAGGATTGGGGGTGTTCTCTGGAAGGGATGGGGTCCTTGTGTGTGTAGAGATTATGGATTCCTGTCTGGTGAGGAGAGCTCTGTATTGAGGATGAGGAACCCCCTTTCTACGGGAATCAGGGCTTCCTACATAGGAATGAGGGGACCTTCCCAAAAGGGCTGAGAGCCTTACTTTAGTGCAGACCGGGGGCCCTTTGAATGGGCCTGGGCCACTGGTGGCACTTGTAGATATGAGGACAGGGAAAATGAACAAAAGAGGGAAGTCCCCAGGGAGGGCCCCTCCTTTTGGGGTGTTCAGGCCACTGGACAGCCCAGGTCAACCAAGCTGTGGGGTGGGGGTCCTGTCCCTCACTGCGTCTGGGGCCCCAGTGGGCCAGGAACCAGCAGGAAGGGCAGGGCAGGGCAGGGCAGGGCAGGGATGCTGTGGTCAGCACGGGGTGTCCAGTTTCCAGCCCTGGGGAAGAGCTAATTTTACCCCCAGGACCCAAAAGGTTAGGGCCCGGTGGCCTGGACCGATGGGGCAGAGCCTGCCTGGGGCAAGGGGAAACCTGATCCCACAGACTCGGGATTAAAGATAGATTTACGGGAATCTGTCTGCGTGAGTTGAACTCCCCGTGCCAGGGAGCAGGGAGAGACTCCTGCGCTCTGGGAGGGGCGGGGCCTGCGCTCTGGGAGGGGCGGGGCCGAGCGCGAGCTCCATCCTTCTGAACACCTGTCTCACAGCGGCCAAGAAGGCCCCCAAAGGCAAAGATGCGGCCAAACCAGCTCCCAAGGAAGCTGCTCCCCCAGAGGCTGCTCCCTCGGAGGCTGCTCCCTCGGAGGCTGCTCCCCCGGAGGCTGCTCCCCAGGACGTGCCCCCAGAGGGGGCTCCCCCAGAGTCCCCCAAAGGTGAGAGAGTGTCCAGTGGGCTCAGCAGAACCCAGACCCCATCCCCCAGGCTGCCCTGGCCCTTCTGCACCCTCTCTGTCCCCCACAAGGCCCCAGAGCTGACCCGCCCCTTCCCAGCCTCCCAAGGCTCCCCAGGGCCCCCAGGACAGAGCCCAGCCCCTCAGCTTGACCTTCAAGCCCCCACCCAGCACCTGGCTGACGCACCACCGAGTCCTGCCAGCGTGGGCCGCTCTGCCCATCTTTACCCCTCTCCTTCCGCACAGCCCCGTTCAACACCGTCCATCCCACCCCCTCCCATTCACAGGTGGGAGAGCTGGGGCCCAAAGGGGTGGGCGCGCCTGGCCAAGGTCACACAGCTTCCCCGGTGACAGGAGGTCATTCCCAGGTCAGGAAAAACCATTTCATGCCAGCCATGGTCTTTGGCTTCAGAGCAGAGGGTCCCCTCCCCGGCTCTAAGTCTGGTCCCCAAAGTAACCTATTGCCCCTCCCAGCTGCCCTAAACCCTAATCCTGTCTCCCAGCAGAAGTTCCCTCTGAGGAGCAGTCCCCCGTTGCCGAAGAGCCCACAGGCATTTTCCTGAAGAGGCCAGACTCTGTGTCGGTGGAGAAAGGTGAGGGGGGCTTGGGGGACGAGGGGCTGGGGGCCTGGACTCCTGGGTCTGAGGGAGGAGGGCCTGGGGGCCTGGACTCCAGGGTCTGAGGGAGGAGGGGACAGGGGCTCTCAGCTTCACCGCCCTCTCTGTAGAGTCCCCGGTTCCTGCCTGGGCGCACTCCCTCTCATCCCCCCCACCCCCTCCCCTACCCAGGAAAGGACGTGGTGATTGTGGCCAAGGTGAACGGGAAGGAGCTCCCGGGCAAACCGACCATCAAGTGGTTCAAGGGCAAATGGATGGAGCTGAGCATCAAGAGCGGGGCCCGATTCTCCTTCAAGGAGACCCACGACTCCGCCAACAATGTGAGGACCCTGTGGGACGCGAGGGTGTGGGGGCTGGGCCAGGCGGTGGTGCAGGCCCTGCTTTCCAGAAGGCCTGTGAACACCTGAGATGTGGCCACGGGCCTTGATCTCCGGGGATGGAGGTTGTTCTGAGGTTAGGCAGGCTGCTCTTGGGCACGGTGTGTGCACTCCCAGAAAAGTCTCAGGGGATCAGGGGTCAGGGGCCCGGGCCCCCCAGGGTCAAGCTTATCCCAGCATGGGAGAGACCACTGCAGGGTGCAGGGAGGACTTGGAAGCAGAGCTGTGGATGGGCTCGGGGGGTGTGGGGTGGCGCTGGGGGAGGTCCCCTGAACCCACACTCCTGGCCCCGGCCCCCAGGTGTACAACTTGGAGCTGCACATTTCGAAGGTGGTCCAGGAGGACCGCGGTGACTACCGCCTGGAGGTCAAGGCCAAGGACACCTGTGACAGCTGTGGCTTCAACATCGATGTGGAGGGTGCGCTGGTGGGGGCGGGGCCACGGGTTGTGGGTCAGGGGTCAGTGTGGGAGGAGAGTGTAGGGATGTAGCAGTGAGGCGGGGTGCAGATTCAGTGGCCCGGGTGCTCCACGTTGGGGAGACAGTCGACATGCTGAGAGCGTGAGGGGCTGAGGGTTCAAGCTCCCCAGATGCGCCTGCAAAGGCTCAGGAGACAAGCTACGTCAGTCCCGGGGTCGCGGCAAACAGACTCCAGAAAGAAGCGGCAAGGACGTGGGAAGTGAGGGAGCTTCAGGGTTAAAGAGTAAGGGCCGTGGGTTTAGAGTGAGGGCGTATGGGATTCATGGCAGGGTACACAGATTCTTAGGCACGTGTATGGAGCCCCGAGGGTGTACAGATACTGGAAGGGGTCTATAGCCCAGGATGTGGGGGAGCTTCAGTCAGCAGGGCACAGAGAATGAGCTTAACTGGGCCTGGGGAGAAGGGCGCACTGGCCCAGGTGTGAGGGGCGCAGGGTGTGCAAAGAGGGCGGTGTGTGGCAGGCACGGTGTGTGTCCAGAAGCAGAGGGTGTCTGGGCCGCACTGGGAGAGCGTGCTGGCTCAAGAGGTGGGAAAAGAGGCGGCGCCGGCCTGGAGGCTGGGGCCTGGAGGGGCTCCCGGTGCTGGATCGGGACATGCCTGCAGCTCGCCTTCCCGTCCCCCATGGCCTCTCCCCAGTGCCCCGACAGGACTCCTCCGGGCAGAGTCTGGAAGACTTCAAGCGCTCGTGAGTGACCCTGCACCCTGGGGACAAGGGGAGGGGCTACCTAGGGCGAAGGGAGGACATGGGGACCCAGGGTGAGTCCAGGGGCACCTCAGCGGAGTTTACACCCCGTCTCCGTGGCCACAGGAATGAAGGGAAGTCCGAAGACGCCGGAGAGCTGGACTTCAGCAGCCTGTTGAAGAAGAGGTGAGCCCCACCCTCTGGCCCAGAGAGGGGAGCTGGAGGCCCACAGAGGAGAAGGTGGCGGGTGAGGCCCCACTGCCCCAGCTGCTTCTTCACCCACCCTTCCACCACCTCCTCCATCCAGCTGCCCAGCCATCTGCCCACCAGTTCCCCTACTCTCCTACCCTTTAACTCTTCCTTCTGATGCCCACTTTCCTATGCATTCAGGCTGCAGCTCACCTACTCATCCATTTGTTCACCCAGCCCAGCATCTGCCCAGCCATTGGTCCACCCGCCCATCAATCTCCTCCATCCATCCAACCAGCTACCGGTTTCTCCATCGACTAATCCATCTCTCCACTCACTTACCCACTTGCCCATCCATCAACCCACCTATCCATCCATCCACCCACCCCCTTCTCACCTGTCCTTCTGTCTGTCTGCCAGGACACTCAGCCACCTGGTTCTGAACAGGGAAGAGATGACTTCTGATGTGGGGGCCAGAAACATCCCTCTGGGGCAATGTGGGGGACGCACTGGAGATGGGGAGACTGGAGGGAGGCCAGGAGACTGGGGCCACGGTCCCGGAGGGAGAGCATGAGGGTACCAGGTCCAGGGACAGAAAGTGACGCGGGCAAGTCACACAGCAAGTGGGCGGAGAAGGCAGCGGGAGACCGCATGGTGGCCCTGCTGCTCTCCCGCCCTGCAGGGAGGTGGTGGAGCAGGAGAAGAAAAAGAAGAAAGATGACGACGACCTGGGCATCCCACCTGAGATCTGGGAGCTCCTGAAAGGGGCAAAGAAGAGTGAGTACGAGAAGATTGCCTTCCAGTACGGCATCACCGACCTCCGGGGCATGCTGAAGCGGCTGAAGAAAGCCAAGGTGGAGGTCAAGAAAAGCGAAGGTCAGTGCGGGTCTGAGCGAGGTGGGCCCTGCCCTTAGGAACCCCAGAATCATGGGGATCTGATGTTTGGACCCTGGACCTGTCTTTTGGGAACCTCCATGTAATGGAGGCCTGTTCTCAGGGCCCTCCAAGTTCATAGGAAGCTTAAACAGAGAGGGGAAGGGAAGGAGGAAGAGAGGGAGAGAAATATCCGTGTGTGGTTGCCTCTCATGCGCCCCCTACTGGGCACCTGATGTACAACCCAGTTATGTGCCCTGACTGGGAATGGAAGCAGCGACCCTTTGCTTCACTGCTGATGCTCAATCCACTGAGTGGATGATGCTCAATCCACTGAGCCACACCAGCCAGGGCCATAGATGGCTTCTTGACTTTGATGTTGGAGAGCCCAGGGTCTGGGGAGGGGGACTTGGCAGCTTGGGGGATGACCAGGGCAGGGAGAACCTCTGAGCTCCACCCACCTGCATCCCTCCACCTCCAGCCTTCACGAAGAAGCTGGATCCGGCCTACCAAGTGGACAGGGGCAACAAGATCAAGTTGGTGGTGGAGATCAGCGACCCAGACCTTCCCCTCAAGTGGTTCAAGAATGGCCAGGAGATCAAGCCAAGCAGCAAGTAAGTGCGTGGGCTAATCCCTGGGTGGGGGACACCTGGGGCCCAGAGACAGCACCCGGAAATAAGGTTGGTCATGCTTTTTAAAAAAAATATTTTATTTATTTATTTGTTTTATTTTTGGAGAGAGGGGAAGGGAGAGAGGAAGAGAGGGAGAGAAATATCCGTGCGTGGTTGTCTCTTGCTCGCCCCCTACTGGGGACCTGGCCTGCAACCCAGGCCTGTGCCCTGACTGGGTATCAAACCGGGCCCTCTTTGGTTCACAGGCCAGCACTCAATACACTGAGCCATGCCAGCCAGGGCCTAGATGGGTTCTTTTTGTTATTATTTTTTCCTTGGCTGGCTGTGTTTTCTCAATTTGTCGGCATGAGCATTTGGGCTAAGAAACCCGGCTATATTAGTGAAGGGGCAGTTAAGTGGCTGTAATAGAGTCCCATTCTAGAGTACATTAAGTTAGAGAGGCGGATGGCTAGTTGGTGGAGGCAGGGGGCCACCTCTTCTCTCAGAGACTTTTCCGAGACCCACTGTCCTTATTTTTGGCAAGACCGTCTGCATGGTGGAAGCTGCGCCTGGCAGATGGGAAAAGGAGAAGGAGAGAAGTCCAGAGCAAGTGCTCAAAGTTGGAGACAACCCAACATTTACTCACATCACACCCAGCTGCACATCACACCCAGCTGCACATCACACCCAGCTGCAGTCCACTGGTGCAGCTTCCCAGCTGCAAAGGAGGCTGGGAAGTGTAGTTCTCTAGGGGGGCGGCTGTGTGCCTGTGCTGAGTGGAAGGAGGAGCTGGGTGGGGGTGAACGGTTAGCATTTCATCTGTGGGTATTTAAACACTAGAAGTTGGACTGTCTGTGCCCTCCCACACACTTTCTCTTGGAGCCAGGGTGGCTTGCCTGGGAACTGGCCGGTGGCTCTACCCCAGGGCTGGCATCTGCTGCATGCCCCACACTGAGCTGAGACTTTTGCACCAGGTACGTGTTTGAGAATGTTGGTAAGAAGCGAATTCTCACCATCAACAAGTGCACGATGGCGGATGATGCTGCGTATGAAGTCGCGGTTGCCGATGAGAAGTGTTTCACTGAGCTCTTTGTCAAAGGTGAGGCCAGGGTTTGGGCCGAGCTTGGGGGGCATCAGGGTCCTGGCGGGGGTTCAGGCACTACTTGACCTCCTGTCTTCCCTGTGCCCACAGACCCCCCCGTCCTGATTGTGACACCCCTTGAGGACCAGCAGGTGTTTGTGGGCGACAGGGTGGAATTGGTAGTGGAGGTGTCAGAAGAAGGTGCCCAGGTCAAATGGTAAGTCACCCTCTGCCCCTGACTTCCATGCAGGTACCGACAGCTTCTCTGCATCAGCTCTGACCTTCGTGGCCTCTCACGGAGGCTGGGGACCTTTGTCCAGTTGTCCCTAGGAGGCTTCAGCTTTTCTCTCTAAATGCTGACCTCCACCCTCTAGAAATTCTAGAACAACATCTACCTTTTCCTGATCCCCTTTTCCTGATCCCTAATATCTCAAGTTTATTAAATCATTTATTCATCCATTTGATCACTCGTCTGTCCTTTGGTCTATCAGTTCATCCATTCATCTTCCCACCCCCCATCCACCCATCCATCCATCCATCCATCCATCATCCATCCACCCACCCATCTACCGATCCATTTGTCTATTCCCACATCAGTTCACCCATCTGACAAATATATATCAAGCATCTCTTGTGGGGGGGCATTCTTCCATATGTTGAAGATGTAATGGAAAGAAAATAAGTCAGCGTGGTACCTGCCTTTGTGGAGTGTACAACCTGGTTAAATTTCTGAAATGTGTGGGTGTGAGCGGCGGAGACAGGTATTAGTCAAGTCATCACATGAGTAAATGTAAAAGTTCCGTTTTGACAAGGGTTTCGGAGGAGCTGTAATGGATGCTGTAACCACTTTTTAATAGGAAGAAGGGACTCGGGAAGTCAGGGAAGCCTCCCTGGAGGAGGTGACGATGGAGCTGAGGTTGGAGTGATGAGGAGGTGGAAGTGAAGTAGGAAGGAAGGAGTGTCCCAGGCAGGGGGAGCGTCACAATATTTGGCATTTCTCTGTGACCTCAGGACGACCCCCGTGTTCTCTCCTCTCCCCTATGCCCCTTTTTTGTGTCTCCGCACCTCCGACCGGGACCTTGAGGCATCTCCTGGTGGCTCGTGACCTCCTTCTCTTTTTGTTCCTGTGACTCTGCCAGTGGCCCATTCATTGCAGATGCCTCTGCGGAGCTTAAACTCTCCTCCCTCCTGTGACCTCCCTTGGACTCCTGAGCCCCACTGAGGACGGTCTCTGTTGCCCCTGACTCACCCTCTGACCTCCAGACCCAGGGCTGTGCAGGGCCCTCACCTCCCCCTTCACGTCCCCTCCACCCAGGATAAAAGACGGCGTGGAGATGACGAAGGAGGATTCCTACAAGTCGCGGTACCGCTTCAAAAAAGACGGGAAGCGTCACTTGCTCATCTTCTCCGAAGTGACCCTGGAGGATGCAGGTCGCTTCCAGGTCATGACCAACGGCGGCCAGTGCGAGGCCGATCTCATCGTGGAAGGTACGGGGCCTCCCTGTGGGGCAGGGGCCTCTGGGCACAAGCCTCTCCTCGCTGCTCCAAGTTGCTCAGGCCCCAGATTTCGGAATTGTCCCTGACGCCTCTCTTTGCCTCACACCCTACAGTCCGCCATCCACCAGCAGGTCCTCAGAGGAGATCCTGACTCCGCCCAGGTCTCCGTCCGCGCATGCGCGGACCACTGAGTTGGTTCCCTCGCTGGTCACTCTGATTCCACACCAGCCTCACTTCTACACACACACACATGCCAGAGTGGTCCGTGTGAAAATCATGTCAGCCCTGGTTAGTGTCGCCCTAATACAACAAAAAGGCTGAGAGTTCGATTCCCGGTCAGGGCACCTGCCTAGGTTGTGGGCTCAATCCCCGGTCGGGACATGTATGGGAAGCAACTGATGGATGTCTCTCTCTCTCTCTCTTTCTCCCTTTCTCTCGCTCTAAAAAAATCCATAAATATATTCTGGGGCGAGTATTTCAAAAAAAATGTAGGTCCGATGGTCAACACTGAACACATCCTGTAGTCTAGGTGACGGTATTGTTCCCACGTGCACTCGTGGTTTTCTAAGTCGTCACACAGTCAGGGGAAGCTGGGTGCAGGGTCCATGAGACTCTGCATTATTCTCACAAACTCCTGTGAGTCTACAAGTTTTTTCCTTTTGTTTTAGACTTATTTATTTATTTATTTATTTATTTATTTATTTATTTTTAGAGAGAGGAAACTGGAGGGAAAAAGATACGGAGAGAAACATCAATGTGTGGTTGCCTCTCGCGTGCCCCCTACTGGGGACCAGGCCTGAAACCCAGGTATGTGCCCTGACTGGGAATGGAACTGGCAACCCTTTGGTTCGCAGGCCATTGTTCGATCCACTGAGCCACACTAGCCAGGGCTATAATTCTTTAAATATGCAAATTATGTATGGGTCAAATAAATTATGTCATAAAAAGGGGAAGTTTTAAATTTACTGACGTGGATGTATTTCCAAGACACAGTAATTCCTTACTTAACGTTGTTGACCACTTCTTAAAAGTGTGGTGAAATGATATATAATGAAGCCACTTTTACCGTGAGCTAAGTGACATTGGCAAGATTAGGTTCCTACAACTTCCGATCAACGTTATAACAAGACAATGTTGAAAGAAATGATGTTATTCGAGGACTTGCTACATATTATTAGGTGAAAAAGCAAATATGCTTTTATTTGTGTATGGGGGAGGGGAGGAGGGAGTGGAGGAAGGGAGAAAGGAAGGGAAATGTACATACACATCAGCTTTAGACTGGGTGCATGATGCCTTAGGGACAGGGACCTAGATCCTTGGAGGTGGGTGGGCGTGAGATTTTTTCCCCCTCTCTATCTAAATCTTCCTCTTATTTTATTTTTAACCATGTAAATGCATTGTTTTATTTATTTTTTAAAAGACCGTATTCATTTTTAGAGAGGGGGAAGAGAAGGAGAAAGAGAGGGAGAGAAACATCAGTGTATGGTTGACTCTTGTACGCCCCCTACTGGGGACCTGGTGCACAACCCAGGCATGTGCACTGACTGGGAATCCAATCAGTGGCCTTTTCATTTTCAGAACAACATCTACCCCACTGACCAACACCAGTCAGGGCAGCATTGTTTAAATTTTTTTTAAATGTTAAGAAATTTTTTAAAAAATTTAAAAATGTCCATCAGATTCCAGCTGTCCTTTCACTGCCCTGCGTGGCTCCGCCTTGCTCAGATTCAACAGGAAGTTTTCTCCGAGACCCACACGCCCGCCCCCGGCTGTGGCCCTGTCTCCCCAGCTCTGCCAGTGCCACCTCTCTTGTCTGTCCGAACTGACCTGCTTGCTGTTTCCACACCAACAAGCCTGCTTTGCTCCGAAGGGCCTTTGCGCACGCCATTCCCTCTGTCTGGGGGACTCCCGCATCCCCACTCGGGCTTTGTCGCTCCCCCTTGTTGTATGTTTATGTGTTTCCCTGCTCACTGCCCGCCTCCCAGTTAGAACCTGAGCTCCACAAGGCCATTGATTGTATCTGCGTTGTTCGTGGCTGTTTCCTCGGTGCCTGGAACAGTCGTTGGCACATAGTGGGTGCTCACAAATATCTGTGCACTGACCAGAGTTGTGACTGCTCCATCTCCTTCTCTCCTCGTCCAGAGAAACAGCTGGAGGTCCTGCAGGACATCGCGGATCTGACAGTGAAGGCCTCGGATCAGGCCGTGTTCAAATGTGAGGTGTCCGATGAGAAGGTGACGGGCAAGTGGTACAAGAATGGGGTTGAGGTGCGGCCCAGCAAGAGAATCACCATCTCCCACGTGGGCAGGTGCGGAGGAGACTGTGGGGGTGGGGCATGCGTATCAGCTAGCTCTAGCTGCGTAGCGACCATCCCTGGACTTAGTGGTTTCAAGGAAGAAGGATGTATCGGGTCGAGTCTGTGGGCTGGCGGGAGGCTGGCTGATTTCGGATGGCCTGTGTCACGTCTCTGTGGTCAACTGGGTGTTAGCCCAGCTCAGCTTCCAGTGCTCCATGAGGACCTCAGGTGGGGGGATGGGCTGCCTCTGCGCTGGTCCCTGTGACGCCTCATCTCCTAGCTGGTCTAGTCCCGGCATCGTCACGTGGTAGAAGCAGGTTATGAAGGAGAGGAAGGGAATGCGACTCTTCGGCCTGGGCTGGGAACTGTGTCCATACCACTCCCACCATGAAGAGGGGAAAATTTGTGGCCATATTTGCAAACAGTCTACTATGGGGATGGGAGGGTCCTAGCTAGGGAAACACAGGCCTTGGCCTGGCTGGTGTAGCTCAGTGGTTTGGGAATCATCCCACAAACCAAAAGGTTGCTGGTTCGATTGCCAGTCACTGATGTGCAAGAGATACATTCGTCCATCAGTTGCCTCTCACATGCTGCCTACTGGGGACCTGGCCCGCAACCCAGGCACGTGCCCTGACTGGGAATTGAACCGATGACCCCTTGGTTAGCAGGCTGGCCATTCAACCCCCTGAGCCACACCAGCCAGGGCTCAGGGAGTTTTTCAAGTGCTTTACAACCCTGGGGTGTATTGTTATCGTTACTTGTATTTTACAGATGAAAAATGAGGCACAGAGAGGTTAAGTAACTTGCCTACGGTCACACAGCTAGTAAGGGGTCAAGCTGAGGTTTGAACCCAGCATTCCAAAGGCCAGAATGAAAAGGGTGGGTGTGAGCCTGTAAATTGCATGGAGGAGGATGTTTTTCCTAGGTAGTCCCCAGGGTGACCTGGCCCGACACGTGCCCTGTGTTCCCCACCCCTTAGGATCCACAAGCTGGTGATCAATGACGTCCGGCCCGAGGATGAGGGGGACTACACGTTTGTACCTGACGGCTACGCCCTGTCTCTCTCGGCCAAGCTCAACTTCCTGGGTGAGGAGCCCCCTTACCCCCAGGGCCCCCCTGGGGGTTAAGTTTCTCTGACTGCCCCCTGGGGCGGGGGGTGGGTGGGGAACAGCAGGCACCTGCCCATCACGGGGACAGTCAAATAGAAGATGGGGGAGAGCACTGTGTGTGCTACAGCGTGACCGTGTGGGGACATGTGAGACAGCCACAGCCCAGAACCCACCCCAGCATCCCAGGTGCCGGGAGACACCAGACCCTCCTCTCTGCCTCGGGGGTGAAGGTGGGACACGGGCCCGCTGACTTTAGACCTAACTGTCCAGTCTTCTGTGTTCCCCAGAAATCAAGGTGGAGTACGTCCCCAAACAAGGTGAGGACTGGGGCTGCTTTGGTAACTGAGGCCCAGACTCCTGGGTCCGAGGGGGGAGGGGCTGGGGCCTGGACCCCTGGTCTGGGGGAGGGGGCTGAGGGGCTGGACTCCTGGGTCTGAGCTGGGAGGGGCTCTTGGGTTTTCATGGCTGTTGGAATCCAGCTTCTCAGGAGATCCCGTGGAGGCAGGATTGGGACGGTCCCACTGCCCACTGCCAAGTCCCCCACAATCCCGTCTGTGCCCCCAGAGCCACCGAAGATCCACCTGGACTGCTCGGGGAAGACCTCGGACAACTCGATTGTGGTCGTGGCTGGGAACAAGCTGAGGCTGGACGTGGCCATCACAGGGGAGCCCCCTCCTGTGGCCACCTGGCTGAGGGGGGATGAGGTAGGGCGGGCTTCCCCCGGGCGCTGTCTCTCCCTCTCAGCTCTGCTGGGCGACTTGAGGCAAGTTGCTTTCCCTCTCTGAGCTGCAGTTTCAATGTAAAATGAGGATTATGATTCTTTCCTCAGGGGGTTGTTTGGAAGATTGGAAATTCCGTTTGTCCTCCCCATGGCCCTCTCCCAGCACATGGTGGGTGCTCCGTCCATCCGTCTGTCCATGCATCCTCCACGCACCCATCTGTCTTCCCATCCATCAGTTAATTGATTAATTCGTGCATCCATCCACTCATCCACTATTTAACCCAGTTGTCCATCTGTTATTCACCGGCCAACCCAGTTATCTATCTGTCCGTCCATCCATCCGACAAATATTTTTACCCTGCATGTTCCAGGCCCTGGGACAGCTCAGTTTTTCTTCTCTCTGGGCTGCAGTTTCTGCTTCTGTAAAAGGGACACACTCAGTGCCCTTCGCTCAGCCAGCAGCCCCTGAGCCCTCCCCTCTGCCGGGCTCTGTGCGCAGGCGCTGAGGTCACAGGCCTTCTGGGAGGGAGGCAGACCGGTGCGGGATGGTCGCTGTCCAGGGTGATCGGTGTGAGATAAAGGGAGGTGCTGGAAACTGTGGGAATTCAGAGGATGGGGCCATCACTGCCCATTGAGAGCATCCCGGAGTGCTTCCTGGAGGAGGTGACTTTGGGGCAGGTCCTAAAGGATAAATAACAGGAGAGCAGATGGAGAACGGGGTGAGGGTGCTGCGTGGGACGAGCCAGGGTGGGGTTTAGAGGATGAGGAGGGCTGTGGGGGGTGGTAAGGCCGTGCAGGTGGAGCAGGTCCTCTTGCGCATAGTATGGCGGTGGGCAGGCACAGGGGGCGGGGGGCGGGGACTGAGCGCAGGGGAGGGGCGGAGGCGGAGCACGGCCATTCGGCGGCTGTGTCCAGGTGTTTACGGCCACGGAGGGCAGGACCCGCATCGAGCAGCGCGTGGAACTCAGCAGCTTTGTGATCGAGAGCGCGGAGCGGGCGGACGAGGGCCGCTACACCATCAAGGTCGCCAACCCCGCCGGCGAGGACGTGGCCTCCATCTTCGTGCGGGTTGTGGGTGAGCAGGGGCAGAGGAAGGGGCTCAGCTCGGGGGGTGGTGCCCCGTGGCCGTGAGGGGCCCTTGACTCTCCTGCCTCCCACCCAGATGTCCCAGACCCCCCGGAGGCTGTGCGTGTCACCTCGGTTGGAGAGGATTGGGCCACCCTCGTGTGGGAGCCCCCCAAGTATGACGGAGGGCAGCCAGTCACCGGTGAGTGTCTGATACCACAGTTCCCATGACCTCCGACCTCCTGTCCCTGCTAATTTCTCCTTAGTCTCCTCAGGGGTGGCGCCCCACCCCTGGTTTCCAGCTTTGACTCTGGACATCCCTTCGGTCTTTGCATCGTTCTTTACTCTCTAACAACGTGGGTTGGGTCAATCACCTGGGATTTTCTATGACCCTTGACCCCCCAATTCATGACTTATGTCCCTGCCTGCTCACTGACCCATGCATGACCAGTGTGACCTCTGACTGCTGGTGACCTTGAGGTCAACCCAGGATTCATGGCCTCGTGCCTGTCTGGGCCACGTGGCCTTTTGATGTGACCCTCACTGCCCCCTACTGCCCTTTGACCCCCCCACGGCCTCTTCATGACCTCCCACTCCTCTCTGCCTGGCGGGGCGTCCAGGGTACCTCCTGGAGCGGAAGAAGAAGGGCTCTCACCGCTGGATGAAGCTGAACTTCGAGGTCTTCACGGAGACGACCTACGAGTCCACCAGGATGATCGAGGGCGTGCTCTACGAGATGCGGGTGTTCGCCGTCAACGCCATCGGGGTGTCCCAGCCCAGCCTCAACACCAAGCCCTTCATGCCCATCGGTGACGCCCCTCTGCCCCCGCGCCGCGCCCCTGTCTGCCTCTGACCTGGGCCCTGTCCATCATTGTTCTCCGACCCTGCACCCTGGCCTTTGACCCCACGGAATCTGCTAGTGTCTGTCACCTCCCATCCAGTGACCCAACCCATGGACCCCTCAGCCTCACCCACCCGCCCAACCCCTCCCAGACCCAGTACACCTGCGGCTGACCTCTGTGACCTTGCACTCCATGCTGCGGCCTGAGTATCTCGCTGACCTCTCACCTCTCAGACTAACAACTGTCTCTGTCCTCAGAGACTTCGCTGTCCCTTGCTGTCTTGTTTTAGTGACCCTCGATGACATGTCCTCGCTCAGTGACCTCTGGCCCACCGTAATGATCCCTCTCTGACCAGTGACTCCATCTCTGACTCCTGACCTTTCCTGCTGACCCCTGATGTAGCCCCCTCTCCCCTTTCCCTGGGTCCTCACAGCACCCACGAGTGAACCCCGCCACCTGACGGTGGAGGATGTGACAGATACCACCACCACCCTCAAGTGGAGGCCTCCAGACCGGATCGGGGCCGGCGGCATTGACGGGTACATGGTGGAGTACTGCCTGGAGGACTGTGAGTGGCCCCATCAGGCCGGGTGGGGGGCCGCGGCTGGCCCGGGCCCAAGGGGGCGTCTGGTCCCGGGGACCCAAAGTAGGACAGCGCAGGGGCCCATCTGTGAGGCAGTGAGCCGCCCTTGCGGGATCGGTGTTTACCTGAATCCCCGGGATGGGGATGGGTCAAGCCAGGCCCTCACTGGCCAGCTTGCCCCCTCTCTCCCTCCTTCACTCCCTCCTTCTCTCCCTCCTTCTCTCCCTCCTCTCTCCTTCCTCCCTTTTCTCTTCCCCTACACCCATCCTCCAAACAGCTGTACCTTTTCATCCATCCATCTTTTCATCCAGGTATTTATCTATTAGTTATATTCCTTCTTCATCTTTTTTGTTCATTTATTCATCATCCATCTATCCATTCATCCATCCATCATCTATCCATCTATCTTTCCCTCCTTTTTTTTTACCTTTTATTTCTCTCTCCCTCCCTCCCTTCCTTCCCTCCCCTTCTCCTTCCTTCTTTTCTTCCACTTTCCCACCTAGTCATCCATCCAAACCATCTCTCTGTGTCTCCAAAAATTCTTTGGATCATCCAGCTAGCCATCTCTCCTATAACATTTTTAATACTTTTAAATAAATATTTTATTTATTTATTTTTAGAGAGGAAGGGAAGGAGAGAAGGAGAGAAATATCAATGTATGGTTGCTTCTCGTGAGCCCCCTGCTGGGAACTGGCCTGCAATCCAGGCATGTGCCCTGGCTGGGAATCGAACCGAGATTGTGTGGTTCCCAGGCCCGAGCTCAGTCCACTGAGCTACACTAGCCAGGGCATCTCCTGTAACATTTTTATGCGTAAATCTCTCTTCACTACCATCTTTCTTCCCTTCCCTTCCTTCCTTCTTTCCACTCATCCATTTACCTGGTGGCCATCCATTTATCTATTAACTATCCAACCATCCATACATCTACCTATCTATGGTCTGTTCATCTGTCTATCCACTCACCCATCCATCCCTCCATCCGGCCCTCTGCCCAGTCCTACTCCGTACATCCAACTCTCCATCCTCCACTGAACAAACATGCATTGTCATGGCTATGAGGACATTGCCAACGTGGTCATCCCACTGGGAACAGAGATGAGATCACCTTTTTCGTTGTTGTTCACTTTGTATTGAATTTATCAGAGTGACATTGGTTAGTAAAATTGTATAGGTTTAGCCCTGGCCGGGTAGCTCTGTTGGTTAAGCATTGTCCTGATACGCTAAGGTTGTGGGTTCGATCCCTGGTCAGGGCATGTACAAATCAATCAAAACCAGATTTCTCTCCCTCTCTCCTTCTCCTCTTCCCCTCTAAAGATAAATAAATAAAATCTTTAAAAAAAAAAAAAAAAAGAATCAATGAATGCATCAATAAATGGAACAACAAGTTGATGGCTCTTTCTTTCTGTCTATCTCTCTTGCTCTCCCTAAAATCAATCAATAAATTTAAAAATGTTGATGGACCCTGGCTGGTGTAGCTCAATGGATTGAGCTTGGGCTGCAAACCAAAGGGTCACAGGTTCAATTCCCAGTCAGGGCACATGCCTGGGTTGCAGGCCAGATCCCCAGTGGGGGCCATGTGAGAGGCAACCACACATTGATGTTTCTCTCTCTCCTTCTCCCTCTCTTCCCATCTCCAAAAATAAATAAATTTATTTTTAAAAAGTTGAAATTTTATAGGCTCAGCTGTACAATTCTACAACACATCACTTGTATATTGTGTGTTCACCACCCCAAATCTTCTTCCATCACCAGACGAAATCATCTTGACTCCGCATCCCAGGTCTTACATACAGTCAGACAGATGTGGGCTCGAATCCCACCCCTGCACTTTCTAGCGGTGTGGTCTTGGGCAAGTTTCCGTGCCTCAGTTTCTTCATCCAGAGATGGCGGACAGTTCCCACCTTGTCAGGGCACCGCGACAGCTGTGTTTGGTAGTGAGTGTGTGTACGCGATGGATGGCGTCTTTCCCTTCCCTTCCTAGTGCTCTTCACTCCACTCCCGCCCCTGGGGACCCCTCCCCAATCTGTGTCATCGCCACCCGCTCCTTTCAGAACCTCCTCCTGCTGGACTTCGCCCTGGCTCTTGTTGGTCTGACCTACGTCGGGTCCCAGTGGGAGGGCTCCTTCACAGAGGCAGGTCCTTGCCCTCTCTGGACCTTGATGTCCTCATCTCTGCCACGGGAACAATGAGGAGTGGAGGTGGGAATAAGGAGCTACCACCTGGTGACAAGTGCTGAGTAAATGTCACCTGCTGCTAGTTCGAGGCCCGGGAAGGGAGGAGCAGCAGAGGGGCTCAAAGGAAGGTTTGGAGGAACCCCGACCCTCCAGGCCCCGCCCCTCTCTCGCAGCCGAGGACTGGATCCCTGCGAACGCGGATCCCATTGACCGCTGTGGCTTCACCGTCAAGAATCTGCCCACGGGAGCGAGGATCATCTTTCGGGTGGTTGGGGTCAACATCGCGGGGCGCAGCCAGCCGGCCACCCTGGCTCAGCCGGTCACCATCAGGGAGATCGTCGGTGAGGGACCCCTGACCCCCACCCCACTCTCCCAAAGACCAGTCCTTTTCCTGTCATCACTCGGGTCTCCCCCAGCAACCGCGTAGCCAGGGTCTCAAGTGTCCCTGGCCCAGCGCTGAGCCCTCCGTGTGTCTGTGTCCTCAGAACAACCCAAGATCCGACTCCCCCGCCACCTCCGCCAGACTTACATCCGCAAAGTGGGGGAGCCCATCAACCTCCTCATCCCCTTCCAGGTGCGTGGGCCGGGGCGGGGTCGGGGTCGGGGGTCAGGGGGTCAGGGGTCAGCCTGCACCCGGAGAGCGCCCGGCTGACCTCTGCTGCCTGCCCTCCTCCCCCACGCAGGGCAAGCCGCGGCCCCAGGTGGTGTGGACGAAGGGCGGGGCTCCCGTGGACTCCTCCCGCGTCAACGTGCGCACCAGCGACATCGACACCGTGTTCTTCGTGCGCCAGGCGGCCCGCTCCGACTCGGGCGAGTACGAGCTGAACGTGCAGATCGAGAACATGAAGGACACGGCCGTCATCCGCATCCAGGTCGTGGGTGCGTGGCCAGGGAGGGGCCGGGGCAGCTGGGGTGGGCGGGGGGGCGAAACGACGAGGGCGGCCCAGGAGCGGGGAGGGGAGACACCGACCTGGGGGAGGGCGTGAGGGGCAAAGGGCAGGAGGAGGTGAGGCCGTGGGAAGTGGGGGGAAGGCCGACGCAGGGACGTCAGAGTCCGGAGGGGGACAAGGTGGGGGACAAGTGGGGACCCTCGGGCTGGCACGCAGCACCTCCCGCCCCTTCCAGAAAAGGCAGGGCCACCGTTGGACGTGACGGTGAAGGAGGTGTGGGGTAGCAACGCGCTGGTGGAGTGGCAGCCCCCCAAAGACGACGGGAACAGTGAGATCACGGGCTATTTCATCCAGAAAGCCGATAAGAAGACCATGGTGAGAGACGGCCCGGAGGGGCGGGCCACGGGGTGGGGGTGGGGCGGGAGGGAGGATGGTGATTCTCGGAGCAGGCGCTGCTGCTCTCCTTTCCCAGCCGGGGAAATGGAGGCACCGAGAGACTGGGAGAAAGGGCCCGGGCCGGGAGGGCAGGCTTTGGGCCGAGACTCGGTGCATGATGGGTTTTCTTTTTCTCTTTGATGGTGGTGAAGTTCCCCTAACAAAATGTGGCATGACCTTTAAGGTGGCATCTAGTACATTCCCAGTGTTATGCAACGGTCACCTCTATCCACTCCCAAGACATTTTTTTTCTTTTTTCAGTAAAAGATCTTATTTATTTTCTTTTTAGACAGAGGGGAAGGGAGGGAGAAAGAGAAGGAGAGAAACGTCAGTGTGTGGTTGCCTCTCACGCGCCCCCTACTGGACAACTGGCCCACAACTCAGGCCTGTGCCCTGACTGGGAATCAAACCGGCGACCCTTTGGTTTGCAGGCCAGAGCTCTATCCACTGAGCCATACAAGTCAGGGAGCCCCAAGACGTTTTCATCACCTAAAAGGAAACCCTGTATCCATTCCCTCCCACCCAGTCCCTGGCAACCCCCAATCTGCTTCCTGTCTCTATGGATTTGCCTATTCTGGCCCCTTCCCATGAACAAAATCACACAAGGGGTGGCCTTTTGTGTCTGGCTTCTTTCACGCAGCCTCGTGTTTTCTAGGTATCAGTGGTACATTTTAGCAGCTCTCAGAGTTCTATCCCCTTTTCATGGCTGAGTAATATTCCGCAGCCTGGATGCTGCCACATTTTGCTTCTTCATCCATCCGTTGATGGGCATTTGGGTGATTCCCATTTCCCGGCCACTGTGAACAGCGGGTTTTCTTAGCTCTGTGCACACTGGGCTGTGTTTGTCTCATCCTGGCCCTTCTTGTGTGTGTGTGTCCCTGACTTTTCTGGCCCTTCCCGGTCCCCATGCTAGGAGTGGTTCAATGTCTATGAGCACAACCGCCAAACCCACTGCACGGTGCCCGACCTCATCATGGGCAACGAATACTATTTCCGAGTTTTCAGCGAGAACATCTGTGGACTCAGTGACTCCCCTGGTCTTTCCAAGAACACAGCTCGGATCCCCAAGGCGGGTATGGCCACCCCCCTCTGCAAGGTCCCATCCCCGCTCTTGGCCGGGGTTTGACGGGGAGTCCTCTGCATCCCCCCACCCCTGGACTCGAAGTTGATGGCAGCTGGTGACAGAGGAGAGGTGTTTGGGGGCACAATGAGGATCGGTCACCTCACAGGTTCACCTCCCCTCCCCCAGGTATCACCTACAAACCTCCTGATTACAAGGAACACGACTTCCGCACGCCTCCCAAGTTCCTGACGCCGCTGCCGGACCGGGTGGTCGTGGCTGGTTACGCTGCTGCTCTCAACTGTGCCGTCAGAGGCTTCCCACAGGTGTGTGCGTGTGTGCGTGCGTGTGTGTGGCCCTGGAGGGAGACCTTCAGCAAGGTGGAGCCCCTGCAGGCACAGGGGGTCCCATTACACCCCCTCTTCCTCTCTGACTCACCTCTTCTCGGTTCATGAAATTTGCTCCCTTTTAATTGGCTGGTCCAACCCACCCGCCACCAGTTTCTCTAAATAAAGTTTTATTGGAACATGGCCTTACACAATTGTGTGTTATCTGTGGCCGCAGAGACCACGGGGCCACAGAGCCTGAACTGCCAAGTACGTGGGCCTCTCTGGATCCACTTACCTGGTTCATTCATTCACTGCATCTGGTTATTTATGTCATTCATTCACTCAGTTTATTCTTTATTTTTTAATCCTCACCCAAGGATATGTTTATAGATTTTAGAGAGAAAGTAAGGGGAGAGAGAGAGAGAGAGAAGGAGAGAAACATCGATCCGTTACTTCTCACATGTGCTTGGACTGGGACTCAAACCTGCAACCTAGGCATGTACCCTGTCTGAGAATCAAACCTGCCACCTTTTTGGTGTACGGGACGATGCTCCCACTGACTGAGCCATCCAGCCGGGGCTCGTTCATTCTTTCAACACATATTTTCAAAGGCTTTCTGTGTGCTGGTGAATTGGATAAGGCATACCCCTAGGGGGGAGACAGCCTTAATTCGACATCACACGAGTGACTACAAAATTGTAAAGGGTGATAAGTGTGCCGGAGAAGTAGAGCAGGCACGAGAGGGTAAAACAAACAGCCTTGAGGCTGGGGAGTGACGTGGGAGCTGAGACCTGAGACAGGCAGGTGCTCATTGGTGAAAAGGGGAGGAAGAGCAGTCTTGGAATCGGGAACAGCCAGTGCCAAGGCCCTGAGGTAGGGACCTGTCTGGTTCGTTGGAGGTGGCCACTGTGGCTGGGGCAGAGGAAAGCGAGGCCACGCGAGGGGGACACACGAGGAGTGAGCTCTTCCTCTGACAGAAGAGGGGACTGAGGGTCGGAAGAGGGACGAGGCCAAGGTCATCCCGCCAAAATGAAGAGGTGGCCCAGGCAGAATGAGGATTCAGGTCTTCCTCCCAAGACCCATGGTGCCATCGCCCAGGGGACCGTCTGTCAGCGGGCCTCCTCTCCTGCTCCCCTCAACAGCCGAAGGTGGTCTGGATGAAGAACAAGATGGAAATCCGAGAAGATCCCAAGTTCCTGATGACCAATTTCCAGGGGATCCTGACGCTGAACATCCGCCGCCCGACCCCCTTCGATACCGGGACGTACACCTGCCGGGCTGTCAACGAGCTGGGGGAGGCGCTGGCCGAGTGCAAGCTGGAGGTCAGAGGTGAGTGGCGGCCCCGCGCGCGCATGCGCCTTACAGGGCCAACCGCGTCTGGCTGGCTGGGAGGACGCGGGGTAACCACAGGCTGCTGCAGGGCGACCAAGCAGGGCGTCGGAGCACCTGACCGGCTTGGTCAGTCGTCCGAGGATTTCCCAAGTTGTTGAAGGACAGAGGAGTGAGTGAGGAGAGCTTGGCAAATGCTTTTGAAGGTCTCCAGTGGGGAGGCGTGTGGAAACACATGCGTGGAAACAAACGTGGATAGTGGCGCAGGGCCTGGGGCTGTGGGAGCCCCGAAACCTGCCTCCCTCCCGCACAGCCTGTCCCCACGCTCTGTTCCTCCTTGCCTGCCTCGGCCCCACAGCCCCAGCCCCGAAGGTCATCCTCTTCCTTCTGAATTCCCATCTGGCCAGCCTCCCCAGCTCCCTCCCTGTCTCGCTCCCATCCGCCCCACACAGGGCCCTAGAGGACTCTCTAATCCAGGGTTGACTTGCCCTCCATGGGCTTCCCAGCAGCCCTGGAGCCCCTCAGCCTGGTGTCAGCGTCCCGCATCTCCCCACCCCTCTCCAGCCTCCCGTACCCCCATTTTCCTCCACATTGTTCCGGCCACACTAAGCTGCTGGCAGTTGGACAGACTGACCAGCTTCCTCCCGGCCACTCTGCCCACTGGGAACACACTTCCTCACCTCCCCCACCTCGGCCTTTCCTCCAACCAACTTCCTCCAGTCAAGGCTCTGTGGGGAGGCTGCTAACCAAGTCCCATAGAAGTGGCTCTCAGAGTCCCTCCCCGACTGTGACTTCCCCTGGCCCTGATGACAGCCCAGCAGACAGAAGTGGCTTCAGACCCTTAACAAGGGTCCAGAGACCTCCACGCCTTCCTGATGGTCATTCCTCCAGGTTGACCCAGTTTCTCAAGTTCTGTCCCCTTTATCAACTATTGAGTCAGCTCCGAAATATCCCCACTTGAGGATTCCAGTGACAGCCCGTGTCGCAAGCCGCTGCTCAGAAATCCCTGATCAGAATGTCCCAGTTTGGAGTTCAAAGCTACAGCAATCAATCACCGGGCACAATGGGGTGGCTCGCAGGGTGGTGAAGGGGAAACTTGCGCCCCCTGCTGGCCAACTGAACCCAGCAAGCAAAAGGGCCTGGTGGGGGCACTGGAGCTGCGGCAGCCAGGTCCCTGCAGACCCTGAGCCACCCTTGTCTCACTTTGCCCACAGTGCCCCAGTGACACTCTCTCCGACCTGCCCAGATCATTGGCTGCTGAGTCCTGCCCCGACCTCCCTGAATAGTGTTTCCCTTTGAGGAGGTATCACTGAGAAGATAAGAGTCTTGTCTGGAAACGCACGTGTCTGTCTTTCTTGAGTCTTTGCTCTGCCTGCCTCCTCCTGTAGGGGCTAAGCACCTGGGGGTGGGTAGTGGGGACAACCAGGCTGGAGTGGCCACCACCGAAAGGCAACAGGCCACATGGAGGCCGCCATCTTGGAACAGCTACTTTAGCAAGGCCGCTGTGTTGCCGTGGCAACTCCATGGCGTCTGCGCACTCCAGGTGACCTGGAGGGATCCCTGGTAGAGTAGCTATCAGGAGTAGGGGTGAGGCAGGCCAGCTGCTGCGGCAACTATGGCGAGTGAGAGAGGACCTAAAGGCCAGGCTGGGAGGGGTGCTCTGGTGAGGTAGCCATGACGGCATGGGGGTACTAGGTCTCAGGGGTGCCCCCCAGTGGCCAGATGTGATGCCCCGAAGTCCATGCGGAGCCGCCCGGGAAAGGCTGCTTCTGCCAGGCGGCCGTGTTGAATTGCTGACCCCCTGATTCTCGGTTCTTAAGTGGACAATCTTTTGAACTTTAATAATTCATCTCTCGGGCCCAAAAGTAGGGTACATAGCTCTCTGGCCCTTTGGGGACATCAAAGGGTGTTGGAGGAGGAATCGGAGTCCCCGGAGTGAGAAGCCTTGCGGGGTCCAGTCTGGCATCCATGGCCCAAAGCTGCGAACAAGAGGGTTTGTCTCAGAGGCCTTGGCCGCACCCGTAGTTGCAGTTTGGGGTGGGTGGGGGGCCTCTGTCCTTATCGGGGAGGCAGGGGGAGCGGATGTCTCCAGAGGAAGAGGCCCCTCGGGTTCCCACCTTCAAGGACAGGCGCCCCTCCCCTCCCAGGCCTGATCTTCCCTGCAGGCCCCGACATTCCCTCCCCAGATCCCGTTGTGGAGAGAGGCTGGAACGGGGCGGGGATGCCCAGTTCCGGAACTAGGGCCACTTTAGCTGGCGCACTGTCCCTGAGGCGCAGACTTCAGACTCTTTCAGGAATCAGGAGTCCAGGCCGTTGCACTTCCTCTCTTAGCCACAAGCCCTCAGGCCCCCGAGTCTGACCCGGTCTCCCGCCTCCTCGCAGCCCCGCCCCCTCACCTCCAATCGCTAGGTCAGATCCTCTTCTTCTTCCTCGTCGTCCTCCTCCTCGTTACCGTCCTCCTCCTCCTTCTCCCAGGTGTTGGCCTCCAAGTACTTTTGCGTGAAGTGTTCGGCTCCCCGGGCCGGGTGGAAGCGCAGGCGGTAGAGCAGCCTCACCCACTGGCCGAACTTGCGGCAGCGGGTCTTGTGCGGACCCCGAAGCTGCAGGTAGAAGGCGCGGCCCGTTTGAAACTTGACCTTGAGCTGCCAGTGCCTTTCGTCGTGGACAAAGAGCTGGACGAACTGCAAGGGGAACAGACTGGGCGGACGGGAGGGGCGCTCTCAGGTCCCGAACCTCCCAGACTCCGTAGCTCGTAGCTCGGGCGCCCTCGGAGTCCGGGGCGCCCACATCGTCGCCGCTTTCTCCGCCCGGAAGGAGTCCTTTTCCACTTTCTCTGCCTCTTGAACCTCACCCATCCCCAACTTCCACCACACCACAAAGCACGCTTGGTGTCTCCCGCCGGTCCTCCTTCCTAAATCCCAGACTTGAACAGACAGCCTCTTAGCTGAAATCAAGTTCCATTTGGATGCTGGATCCACATCGGACACAGAAAATGCTGACCTTATCCCCAGCCCAAACCCTCCTCTCTGTACTCCCAGTTTTAACTACACCCTCCCAACTTACTTGGTCAGTCAGAACCGTGGAGTCCCTCTTGACCTGACTTTCTCTCTCACCCTCATCCAGTCCTGCCACCGAATTCTGATGGCTCTACCGTTAAAATGTATCCATAATCCGACCGCTTGCAACTCCCTCCAACGCTTTCCCTACAGTCGAGCCACAGTCGTTTCCCATCTCGGGCCCCCAGCTCGTCTGTTCTCCACGCAGCCGCCAGAGGGCGCCGGTCAACACCTGAGTTGGCGCGGAGTCAAAGCCAAGTCCTCACCTCCCGCTGGAGGCCCTGCAGGGTCTGCCCGCTTTGTTCTCTCTGCCCTCACCTCCCGCCTACTTCCTTGGCTGGCTCTACTCCAGCCACACCGGGCTCCTCGCTGTTCCGTAAATCTGGCAGGCTTGGTCCGACTTCAGGGCCTTTGTACAAGCTGTTCCCTCTGCCTGAAATCGTCCTCTAGCCGCCCCCCTGGCTTGGCCCCTGCGTTTCTCTCAGGGAAGTCTGTTTACCACCTTTGGCCCACTTGCAACCATGTCTGCGCTGGCCGATATCCCCATGGTCCCCTGAGTGATGTCCCCTGCCTGATGTCTCCACAGATCTTTTATCACGTTGGAACAACTGCTGTTTATTCTGTCTGCCTGCCCAATAGAAGGTGCTATTTCTGTCACCCTCGCACCTGTGCACTTGGATGTCCACTGCCTGCCACCCTGGCTGTTATCCCAAGACATGGGACACAGCCTCGGTGGCAGGCTCCATCTATGTCATTCCCCAAATGGAAGAATAACAGCTGAGATTGATAGAGAGCTTACTTTGCGCACTTTTACCTAGTTTATCACCAAGCAGCCCCGGAGGTGGGTCTCCCCTTATCCTCATGTTCCAGGTGAGGAAACTGAGGCCCGGATAGGTAGGGGGAGTTGACCAAAGCCAGTGAACAGGTGAGGCCAGGGTTTGAACCCAGGGCATCCAAAGGCGGCCTTTTGTTCAAGGATGTTTCCTACTACGTTGTAACAGTGTAAGAGTGGTGTCCAAGGGGCCAGTTTTTTCAACCATGTACGGCCACCACAGGGCCTGGTGGCCGGTACTCGTGTCAGTACGAACTGAATACTGCTCTCCTGCCGAGGGAGTGAGCAGAGGGAAAGGCAGTACGTAGTCTGGGCCTGCGACTATTACCAGGCAGCGCACACGAGATGCCCATCAGAGACGGTCCAGAGGAACTCTGGGCTGTAAGCTGGTTAGCAGGGAGGTGCCAGGGTGAGTCTTGAGGCTGAGTCTGCAGAGCAAGTTCAATATTTTCACTCCGATGGTATGTTTATTTGGGGGCCAGCAAGGGGAGGGTGCGGCAGGAGACTATGAAGGTCAAAGCCCTCCCTTAGCACCTTCCAACCGCAGGTCATGACTCAGTGGGTAATTATGGGTAATTATACTACACCCATAGAAATATTTTGGTATTTGCTGCTGGAGTTGGATGCAGGAGCCTAGGACGGGAGAAAAGTATATTTTGTGTTATGTGTGTTTTATGTCTTGGTGTGGATCTGCATTACTTTTTTTTAAAAAAAGATTTTATTTTTAGAGAGAGGGGAAGGGAGAAATTGATGTGCGAGAGATACATCGATCTGTTGCCCCCAACCAGGGACCTTGGCCTGCAACCCAGGCATGTGCCCAGACTGGGAATCGGACCGGTGACCTCTGTATTTGCAGGACAACACCCAGCCCACTGAGACACACCAGTCAGGGTGGATCTGCATTACTTTTTCCGTGAAAAAAAAAACAAGGATCTGAAGAGGCACTGTGTAGCGTGACACAGGAGTTTGAGCGCCGTGAGGTCAGAAATCATGAGAAGCCTGAGGTTCTGATCCTGGGCAATCCTCGACCCCCTGTGAAATCCTGGGCAAGTGGATCCCCTCTCTGGGCCCCAGTTTATCTCTTTGGAGGATGGGGCTAAGGGGTCCCACCATAGAAGAGTGTGATGTCAGAATTGAGATAATGTGAGGGGCCAGGGTGTGCTTGGCATGTAGCAGGTGCTGCAGGTCATTGCCTTGACCCCTGCCAGGGTGTCACTGCGGACCGACCGTTCCCCCTCATGTCTGTCTATCCCTGATTTTGTGCCCCTGCCGACTGCCCTGTCCTCGTTCTCCTGGGTGGCCAGCAGGCCAGAGAGGACTGGTAGTCATCCAAGGCTCCTGACCCTAGGGGTCATCTGGGTGAGAGGAGGTGCTGCTGGGAGCCTAGGACGGCCTGAGCTGGGGAGCAAGGAGGTATGGGTGGGGGTGGGGGTAAGGGCAGTCACCCAAAGAGCTGCAGGTGTCCGTTCTCCTTGGCAGGGCCCGCCAGCAGCAACAGGTCTGGGAGTTCCAGGGCTGGACTGGAGGATGCCACCGCCATGGTTACTTTGTTGGCAACTTCTCCTAACCGGGTCACCTGGGGTGGGGGTGGGGGGGTCAAGGGTTAGAAGCTGGATAGATGTGGGCAGATTTGTGGAGGGATCAGAGACAAGAATCTTGGGAGGATTAAGGGTCAAGAACCTAGTGAATTAAATACCAAGATGGGAGTCAGATACCCTGAGGTCAAAGGTCAAGAGTCACACAGTTGTTAAGTCAGGGAAACTGAAGGGAATCCGAGGCCAGGCTTCATAGAGAAGTTAAGATCCGGAGGGATGGGGAAAGGGGTCGGTCAGGAATTCCAGGAGATACATATTATCGGGGAGTTGTCACGAGGGAGAGCCGGGGTTGCCAAAGCCAGGAGGTCAAGACTCAGGCTGCCGCTCAGGGGGTCTTGGGGCTCCACACCTGCACGAAGTTGCTCTCAAAGATGGAGAAGTCTCGCAGCTGGTCGAACTCGCCGCGCAGAAGGTAGCGCTGGAGACGTCCAGGCCGGCCCGTGGGACAGGCTGGAACCAGGGCACGTTCTAGGGTCGAAGTTCGGGGATCTATTCCAAGAGGCTGCTGGGTCGGACACCCCCGGCTGGCAGGGCCGGGGGCAGCCCGGCGCTGGGAGCAGGGGTTTCTGGGCTATCGGTGTCCACTTCGCCGACCCCATCCCTCACCTGGTGCAACCCGTCCAGGCCTGTTTCCGCCATCCCACCTGGTCCCACCGCACCTGCTTCACGGGGGGCCGGCTTAGGCTCTTGCCCCTGCTTCATCGCAACGCCCTGCCCCTTTGGGGGACGGAGGGAGGAGCCGAGGGAGAAAACCGACAGGCGGGACCACGTATTCTGTAGCCGCAAAATGGTGCGGACCAGGAGATGCCCCCAATTGTGCCGTCACCCGACGGACGCTGGCCACCCTCCGTACGTCAGGCCCCGGGAGCGGGCAGGCGCTAGTGCGCAGACGCCAGCGCAGGTGCACAAGCGGTAGGTTGCAGTCCGTTTCTCCCGGCGTGCTCTGCGGCTCCCAGCTCACCTCGCCCGTTGGCTGGTGGGAGGGGAGCAAAATGGCGGCGGCCGGAGCTGTGGCCAGTAGGCTGTTCCTGCTCTTGCTGGTGGCGGCCGCAGCTCCCAGTCGCGCGCGAGGCAGTGGTTGCAGGTCCGGAGCCGCTGTACGAGGGGTAAGTACTCATTGACTCGGCACGGGGGGGTGAAGCCGACGGAAATCGTGTCTCGGACTTTGAAGTCGATTGAGGTGGGAACGGGGCTGCGCAGGGCCGAGATGGGAGAGAGGGGAAAGAACCGTAGAAAGCGAGTCGGCAGTCCTGCGCATGCAGAGGCAGCACAACTGGAAGAGGCAAGGGAAAGCGTGAGGGGGCAGGGCTCCGGTGGGATTTTGGCATCTGCACGTTGTTGCGGGGAAAACAGAGCTGCGTTCAAGGTTGCCCTCTTGACGTTTTGACTGTGAGCATCTGTACTCATGAATATGCATGAGGAGGTGTGGCCCGGATGGAATACTGGCTAATAAGACGTCGGGCAGCTAAAATGAAAAGAGCGGGCGGGGGTTGGGGAGTGCTGTGGAGAGATTGGAGAGGAGTTCTGCCGGCTGAATATGCACGTGGAGGGCGGGATCTTGATTTGTAGGATTAAAATATGGAAACCAGGTTGCGCAGGTGCAAGGGCGCAGAGGTAAAATAAATTTGGCGATTTGGAGGAAAGGAAGGTGTGGATCCTCGTTTGTGTTTGATAAAAGGCAGAATTAGGGTGGCATCAGGGCTATCGAGGCAGTTAAGGTGAAAACGAGGCCGCCTGGATATTATTAGTTTGGAAAGGAAGCTAAGGTGCCCTTTAACTCAGGAATATTGATGATACTAGGCATAAAAATGAGCCAGAGATAGTTGTCTTGGAAACGAGCTTACTGATTCTTTGCAGGCTCTGCTTTGCTGGGGACCGTCCGGATCTTGAATTTTCATGAAATAGGCGGTTCAGGGAGGAGCTGTGGGCAAGCGGCAGTGTTTAGAGATGAGTATGAAAGCGAGGGCTCTCTTGGGCCTCACTCGGAGTCCTCTCTGTCAATCTGCAGGCGGGGGCGGAAGGTCGAGAGAGTGAGGGCTGTGGCACCGTTGGGCTGCTGCTGGAGCACTCATTTGAGATCGGTGAGTTCAGCGATGTCCCCGCCTTGCCCCGCGCCCTGTGAAGTCGGGAACCGCAGTCCGGGTGCTGTGCAGTGTGGAACACCATGCTTTCACTAACAGCTGGGCCTCTTGAGAGTGTGTGTGCATTACACTGGGGCGGTGGGGGAGGGGAGGGCACTAGAGAATAGGAACTTGCCTTGAACTCTTCTGCACCTGTAAAGCAATAATAACTTCAAAGCAGACTTTTCTGACCCGTGCCCTGCACTAGATGCTCTGCATGTATTAACTCAGACATCTCATGACAGCCACGCAAGGCAGTAGGTGTTAGGGGTAACTCCGTTTTCCAGAAGGGAAAACTGAAGCTCAGAGGGGCACCACACAAGATCCTCTTGTAAGTGGATGGCAGGGCTGGGACCCACCCCAAAGCCCAGCCTAAACTGCCAGAGGGCAGACGTCAGTGTGGCCCAGGTGTTAATAATCCAGTCTGGGGCCCTGGCTGGTGTGGCTCAGTGGATTGAGCACTGGCCTGCGAACCAAAGGGTCGCCGGTTTGATTCCCAGTCAGGGCACATGCCTGGGTTGCAGGCCAGGTCCCTAGTAGGGGATGTGTGAGAGGCAACCACAGACTGATGTTTCTCTCCCTCTCTTTCTCCCTCCTTCCCCCTCTCTATAAATAAATAAATAAAATCTTTAAAAGTAGTAATAATTACCAAGTCTGGGCTCTCAGACTTCCGGGGCCCTTGTTGTAAACCTGGAAGCTGGGGCTGTCTGAGGACCATCCGGGTCAGACCCCAGCCTCAGCCTGGGAAAGCTGTGTTGAGCCTAGCTTGGCCCAGCGGCTGGGAGCCCTTGGGCTCTGTAGCCCTGTGTTTTGCAGCTTGGAAAACTGAGGCTCAGAGAGGTTACGTGACTGTCCCTGGGTCACCTGGCAAGGCAGAAGCAGGGCTTAGGAGCTGTGGGGTTCAGACATCTGCCCAGGTGTGAGGATGTGGTGGGGGGTCCCTAATTTGCCAGCGGGAACATGGGGGCTCAGGTTGGGGCCTCGAGCTGGTGGCTGCAGCGGTGAAGGGTGCTGTGCTGGGGTGCTTGCTGAGCCCAGGCTCCCCGCAGATGACAGTGCCCACTTCCGGAAGCGGGGCTCCATACTCTGGAACCAGCAGGACAACACCTTGTCCCTGTCACAGCGGCAGCTCAGCGAGGAGGAGCGGGGCCGCCTGCGGGTGAGGAGGGGACCCCGGGCTTGGCAAGCAGGGGAGACACAGGTGCCTTAGGGTGTTACACGTGCCTCAGGGCCTTTGCTCGTGCTGCCACTCCGTCCAGCACACCCTCTCCATTGGTTTTCACACGACCAGTCCCTCTTACCCTTCCAGGTTCAGCCAAGGTGACTGACAGTCAGTTAGGCTGAGTTTGGCTTTTGAGGAGGAGGAGGTGCCCCCAATAGCTATGGTCAAACAGCAGGACGTTGTTTCTCCCACAGCCCTCCTCATGGCCTTCCCGAGGGCTGGGCTCCTCCCAGGCCAGCTCGGTCCTCCCCACGCAGGGTGTAGGGAGTTGCTGGGGCTCCTGTGGGGCTCCAGGCTGCAAGGTAGACGAGGAGAAGAAGGGGCTGAGGGAATAGCCATATTTTAGGGAAATCTGGCAAAAAGCTGCCATAATCCACTTCCACCCTATCCCTGTGGCCACATGTAGCTGCAAGGGTCCTGGCCCTACGCGTGGTCAGCTGGGTGGGAAGAGCCCTGGGCATCCTCAGCCTGGCTGGCTGCACAAGACCCAGGCAGGGCCTTGTGGCCCACGGGCCTGGTGGGGGGCTGGGCTTAGCAGGGGCTGGGCATCCCTCTCACCGCCGACTGCGTCTTCCCTGCAGGATGTGGCAGCCATGAACGGCCTGTACCGTGTCCGGGTCCCGCGGCGGCCTGGGGTCCCTGATGGCCCCGAAGCTGGCTACTACGTCTCCTCCTTTGTCCCCGCGGTGAGTCAGTGACGAGGACCAGCCCTCCTCCCACCAGTCCCAGCCTGGTGTCCACCATCTGTGACCTAGTATTTATGGACAGGGAGGCGGGGGTACTTGCACTTGTCCTTGCCCTTGAAGTTCCCCCCAGCTGCTTCCATGTGGTGGTGGGGCCTGGGGATGGCTGCTGCACTTGGGCTGGTGCCCGAGGGGGGCTGGCAGCCGTAGAGGCTTTGAAAGGTGCTTCTGGGGCTGTGGGAGGGGCAGGAGGCTCCGGGGTCCCAGTGAGGGCAAGGCCTGGGCAACAGCCCCTGCTCCCCCTCTCCCGACCCTCCCCACTTAGTGCTCCCTGGTGGAGTCGCACCTCTCGGATCAGCTGACACTGCACGTGGACGTGGCTGGCAACGTGGTGGGCGTGTCGGTAGTGACGCACCCCGGGGGCTGCCGGGGCCACGAAGTGGAGGACGTGGACCTGGAGCTGTTCAACACCTCTGTGCAGCTGCAGCCGCCCGTCACGGCCCCAGGGTGAGCGTGCGGGATGGGGGCGCAGACAGCCCCTTCGGCTTGGCCACGCCCCCGCCTTTCCTGCTGTTCCGGGGGCTGGCCCCATCCCTCACCACGTCTCCTTCCTCCACCCCCAGCCCGGAGACCGCGGCCTTCATTGAGCGCTTGGAGATGGAGCAGGCCCAGAAGGCCAAGAACCCTCAGGAGCAGAAGTCCTTTTTTGCAAAATATGTGAGTGGGGTACCACCTGTCCCCCTTCTGAATGAGCCCCCTTCCCTTGCTGAGTGCCCCCTGCCCTGCTCATCTCCCCAGCCTCCTGCTTGTGGGCCCTGCTGCTCTCCCTTGGGGCCTCCGTGCCTGTCCCATGGCCCCTGGGCTGAGCCTAAGCCCCACGGAGTGGAGCAGCTGAGGGCTGCAGCCCATGTCAGCCCGTAGCACCCGTCACGGGCGTCCATTCTCAGTGAATAGCCGGCGCAGAGCTGGCATTTCGGGGAACCCAGGCTCCTGGGCCGGTGGCAGACTCGGTGTGGGGAGCGTCAGTCTTGAATGGAGGCCTGTTGGAGGAAGGGCCTTGAGGAGGGCTGTGGGGAGGGGAGGGGAGGGGCAGGGGCAGCTCTAGGAGGGGGCGAGACCAGTGTCCAAGGGAGGGTTCGAAGTCTGAGCCACTCGGGCCAGGGCTGTGGGCGTGGAGTAGGGGTGGTGGAGATTTCAAAGGCACGGTGTGGTCTGGAAAGAGGGGCAGCTGGTGGTGGCCTCCAGGCCCGGAAGGCAGCGGCTTCGGGCGTTTGGGGCGGCAGCACTCTGGGCCAAGGCGCCTGGGAGGCCAGTCTGCAGCTGAGGAGGGGACGCCCGGGAAGCGTCCTGGGGTCGTGGGCCCTGTACTGCCAGGGAAGCTCTGAGGTCGAATCCTTGGACCTGGGGGTGCTGGGGCTGGAGGCAGCCAGTCCCACCTGTGGCTTGGCTGGGCCTGTGGAGGCTGGTGTGGCAGGGTGGCCGAGGCCGCGAGTGAGAAGATGCTGAGCCCTGCCGCAGGGGGCGCAGTGCCCGCGGGGCCCCTCACCTCAGGACAGCCTGACAGCTGGGTCACAAGGAGACTGAGGCCCAGAGAGGCCTAGAGCTCGCCTCCCCTGGCGGTGCCCTCCCTGGTGGCTGCTGGACCCTGTGGCCACCATGGGCCCTGACCCACGCCCCCTCCCTCCTCAGTGGCACCTCATCCTGGGGGGGGCCGTGTTGCTCACAGCCCTGCGTCCTGCTGCCCCTGGGCCCGCGCCATCACCGCAGGAGGCCTGAGTGAGGACCGAGCCCCCTCCCGCCTCTGCCCCCCCTGCACCCCGGCTGCCCTACCCCGCCCGTAGTGATGTAGGGGACCCGGGCCCCTCTCCTCACCTGGCTTCCTCTCACGCCAGCCCCCACCTTCCCCGCCCTGCGGGAAATGCTGCTCGTACTCACCTCCCTTCTCTCTGTTTCTCTGTGTCTGTCTGTCCAATGTCCTGTCCTCCTGTCTGGCCCGCAGTGGATGTACATCATTCCTGTCGTCCTCTTCCTCATGATGTCTGGAGCGCCAGATGCCGGGGGCCAGGGGGGCGGCGGCGGCGGAGGTGGCGGCGGGGGCAGTGGCCGGTGAGGGGCCTGGGGCCAGTCAGCGCCCACCCGTCCTCTTTCACCCAGGAGACTACTTTCCTGCCCAGAGTGCCCGTGTCCTTGGTCACCCCAAGAGTCCCTTCCCTGTGGGCCTTGATGTTCCTGTCAGGAGCTGGGTGGCTGCACCCCTGGCCCTGTTGGCCCCCCTGCAGTCCCAAGGGCCTCCCTTCACCCACAGTCTGGGGCCCATGCTCCTGGGCCCCTCTGATCTGGTGGCTGACACCCCCAATACCCCCAAGCCCTGCAGTCCGGGAACATGCCCATGCTCTCCAGCCCCTGTGCCTTTCTGGGTGGCCCAGCTCCTTTGCCACGCTCCTGTCACTCTCCCTTGGGGGCACAGGGCGGGCCTGGGCAGCTGGGCTGGCCGTGCCCCGGGCCCTGCTCTGCCCTTTTTCTGCCCAGGATGCCAGAGCCTGTGGAGGCTTCTGGGCTCGAGGGAACGATGTTTAAAATCAGCACAAAGTGAAGCAGCTGCAGGGAGCGGAGCCCAGGGCCGGGGGTGGGGGGTGGGGTGGTGTGTGTGTGTGTGTGTGTGTGCAGCCCCGCCCCACCTGAGCCGTCCTCCCTGGGATACTGGCACCAGGTGAGGCCGCCGGGCCTTTGCCGTGTATTCCCCACACTTGCCGGTTTAAAAACATTGACGAGAATGGGTTGAAATACTTTCAAAGACCCACACCTTCCGGCAGCTGAAGGCTTCCTGATGTACATGCGCATGTAGGGGTCGTTGGTTGGGTTGGGTTCCGGCGTTCGCGCGGTGGGTTACGCAGAAGCCCTGAAACTCAGCCTTTGTCGTTGTGGCCAGGGACGCTGCTCTGTGTCACGTGGCCGTGTATGAAGCTGTCCCCCCACACGTCCACCACTTACGGTAGCCCGCTCGCTGCTTTCCGTGGTTATAAATAGGCCTACGGTGAGCCAGCCCATTCGGTGTGAGTCTGAATTGCTTCCTGGGGACACGTGATCGACATAGTGGCGTCCCTGGGGCAGTTCACAAGTATTTGTATGAGCAGGTGGTGCAGGACGGGATGTGGTGGAAGTTGTTCCCCTCCTCGCTTTTATCCTCTTATTTCCTCCTGGAGCGTGTGTATGGAGCACAAGCCAGCAAGGCCGCTGTTAATCCCCCCCCCCACTGGGTAACATGAAAGTCGAGAATGCCACAGGCCGTCTTGCACCTGGCTTCACTCCAGCTGCCCAGAGTGGCCTGGTCCTCCTCACCCCGCCCTCCCCAAGGCCCCTGGGCTCGGTCAGCTAGGAGTAGCGAAGCTCAAAGCAGAAACTGGAATGGCTGGGGCGGATGGCCCTTGCAAATCGGTTCCATGTTGCTGAGTTGCCTCCACAGGGCAAACTCTGGTCCCTGGTTCCTCAGTCTCGCACACAAGGCTGGGCGTCTCTCTTAAGGATGAGGCGGGCCCTGGCTGATGTGGCTCTGGGTCGAACCCCTGCCGGCGAACCCAGGGGTGGATGGATGGTCAGGGCTCACGCCTGGGTTGTGGGCTGGGTCCTCAGTTGGGGGTGTGCAAGGAGCAGCGGATCGATGTTGCTCTCCCTCTACTTCCCCCTGCCTTCCCCTCTCTCTAAAAAGTAAATGAAATAAAATCTTTACTTAAAAAAGAAAGGACGAGGTGTGGAGCCTGGCTGCACGGGGGTGACCTCACCAGTTTGTTTTTTTTTGTAGCTTTGTACGTAAAACGGCGGCGTCCTGGCTGTAACTCCCACAGGCAGGAGACCGAGTGAATTTTCCCGTCTGTTCCGCAGGAAATTCCGTGGCTCTTTCCCAGGTGATGCCCCCCCAGTGCTTTCTCTGACACTGTTCCTGACTCAGAGTTCTTAACCCTTCGTGTGCCGTGCAGACAGTCTCCCCACCCCCCAGCCATTCACCCAGCCATCTTGTCAGTGTTTAATGGGTTGCAATTAAGATCTTTATCTGATGACATCCTTTTCCTCTAAGACTTTCTCGATCCTGGCACAGTTACTCTGCAGTATATTCTAGTCATCGTGTGAGCTGGTGTCGGCTCCCCAGGGCTCTGTCCTTATTAAATTCTCCTCCAGTTTCTCTCCCGTCCCTGGAGAGCTGGGCCACGCTTCCTTTTATGGGCCAGGGGATCCGGGGATACAGCACGAACATCAGAAGGTGCAGAAGGGTCTGCTCACCCAGCCCACACGGTGTCCTCTCACCAGGGGCCACCCGAGTTTCAGTCTCGGGGGGCTTTGTTCCAGAGACATTCTCCCCACGCACAGGTGATCCTGTCTGCCGATGGTTTCCCAGTAGCGTGTTGCTGTCCCCCCCGTGACAGAAGTCAGAGAGGTTTCCTCCTGGGACATAAGGCGTGAGTCCTCTGTGAAGTGGCCGGCCCCAAGCTGATCTCGCTGCCCCTGTCCTCTGGCCTGCAGGGTCCTTCGGGAAGCTGCATTGGTTTGTCCGCTGTGTGCGCATTTGCAGGCCAGACGGGGACATGCTGGGGGATGTTGTCCTTTCCTGTGTGGCCACATTGGTGGTTCCACACCCACCTCCAGCTCAGCCCCCCGCTGGTCTTCAGACCCAAATGCTGCCCCAGGAGGTGCCTCTGGGACCATGAGGACGTTCATGCCGCCGCCCGCCCAGTCTCAAGGCCTGTGGTGCAGCCTGCAGTCAGCAGTGCTGCTCTGCCCCTCCCGGCCTCCTCCCTTCCCCTCTGTCCCTGGGACCACAGCCCTGCCCTCATCACCCCCACTGGGACCGCCGGCCCGGCCTCCTCCTGTCTCCACCATTCCCTCTCCAGTCCACCCCCCTCACGGGGGCTTTCTGACGTCTGGGCCACTCTACTCCCCCCCAGCTCACAGCCCTCCTGAGGCTTCCCAGTGTCCTCAGGACAGAGTCCCAGTCCCTCAGACTGGCCTTGATGTGTATTCTGTGTTAATTACCTCTGTCCTCCCCAGCCTCGATTAAGGAGTCACTTAGATACTGCCAGGCAGGACTGCCCTGCCAGCAGTTCCCACCCCACCCGTCTCCCCACAGCCCCGCCCCCTCTTTCTGCCCCCACTGAGCTCAGACCGCCCCCTCCCCAGCCTCCTGACCTCAGGTCTCAGATGGGGCAGCACCTTCAAGGTGATTGCCCCTGCTCCCCAGTTTCCCGCCTCACCCCGTGGAGGCCCTTCTTTGCCCTACAAAATACCACCTGCCCCCCAGCGTTGGCGAAGCCGCCTTTCTGCCTGGGCCCTTCCCACTGGCATTCAGGTGACCCTAGCACAGAACTTCGTGACTGGCTTTGAAAATGCATAAAGCTAATTTTAGTATGTTTAAAAGCCTCCTTACTACCCTAAATTGTGCACTGTGGCGTGTGGCTTTTGGAAGCGATTCTGTGGGCGCCTTCATTTAACTCATCTGAGAGACTCCGCGGAGGGCGTCCCTTTAGCCGTCACTGGCTTCGGACCCACTTCCGGTCACAGAGGGATAGCGGCCTCATCACAAAGGCAGCACGTTCAGCGTGGCCCAGTTCTTGGAACTGGGCTCCCTTCCTTTGGTTCCCACCCGGTCCCATGTGCATTTCCATGGCAACACAGACTCTACCCAGAACAACTGGAAAATACATGAAGTCCAGAGGTGTGAATTGGCATCCAAGGAGCTTGCTGAGAATATGTATTGACTACGAGTTAAACATTTTATTTTTACAGGCTTTTGAAAATTCTCCCTCTCTCCTCCTTACCCACCAACACCAACGCCCCCGCCCCACCCCGAAATCCTGCATTCTAGTCACTGTCCATGTTTGGGGGGCCGGTCCCAGGTCTAATACAGCTGGGTTGCAGTTCCACCCTCTGCCGCTAGGTGGGGACGGAGGCTTCCATGCAGACCGTCAGGCCTCAAGCAGACCCAGGTGTCCCCCTCCGTGGAGAGAAGTGCCCTGCAGGGGGCGCGGCTGGTCCTTTGGGAAAGTCGGGTTCCCACGAAGCCTCTGTCTTAGCAGATGCTGTTCCTCAGGAACACTGGGTGTCTGTGTTCTCCGCCCTGTCCACTGCCGATGGGCTTCGTGCTGCCTGAGGAGAGGAGAAAGCAGAGGGCCGGGGAGAACGGAGCAGAAAGGAGCCATTTCTCTGCTCGCTGAGCTCGGACTCGGGGATCAGCAGAGTCCAGAGGGAGCTGGTTCTGGGCAACCCCAGGCCTGCCGCTTACCTGCTGTGTGGCTTTAGGCAACTCGCTCCCTGTCTCTGAGCTTCTTTGCTTCCTCCTTCCCGGGCCTGGGACAGCTCTCACTCCTCCAGGCAGGGTCCAGAGTCCAGGACAGACAGAAAAGAGAAAACATGGGCGTCACAACGGTCCTTCCACCCCAGGGCCTCTGGCCTGGCAGACCAGCTCCAGGCTTTCCCGCCTCCTGCCCCAAAGGCCTGTGAGGAGCCCTGGATGGGCTCCCGCCTCCGGCTCCGAACCTGGAAACCTCAGAACATTGAGGGCAGGGGAGGAAGGCAGAGAGAGAGAGTGAGGGGGCCTGGGTGGGGCGCAGGATGCAGAGTGAGGGGGGCTGGTGAGGGGAGAACCATGGGTGGGGGGAGAAAAGAGGTGACGGGTTCATGGAGGAGAAAAAGGAATTGGGATTGAAAGAAGGGAGGGGAGAGAGAGAGAGAAACTGGGGACAGGAGACGGTGTGAGTGGGAGAGAGAGTTAGAAAAGGAGAGATTCAGAGAGAAGAGAAATCCACGGAAGAGGGAGAGAGGAGAGAAAAGAGATGGAAGGGAGAAAGGGGGACAAGAACGTGCTGGAAAAGTAGGATGAGGGGAGAAGGAGGGGAAGGGGGTCACTCTGAGGAAGGGAGGTGAATGAGAGACCAGACAGCACCAAGGGAGGGCCTGAAGGTGGACAGGAGGAGGGAGAGTTCAGGCCAGAGGAGGGAGAGGAGGGAGGAGGAAGACAGGCTGTGAGACAGGAAGGGAAGGGGGAGGAGAGAGAGAAACAAGAGAGCAGGGCTGGAGGGCTGGGGGGAGGGGGGAGGGGTTAAAAGGTGAGTGACGACTGAAGGCGGCAGAGACCAGGCGAAGAAGAAAAGAAGAGGCCGGGAAACAGGACAGAAAAAGAAAAGAGGAGTGTGGAGAGAGAAGGGAAAAGGGAAGAGCCAGGAGCCGGATGAGGCAGAGAAAAAAACGAGGGGAGGGAAGAGGGCAGCTGAGAAAGGAGAGGAGAGGAGGAGGAGGGTGAGGAGGCTGAGGGAGCCGGAGCGGGGACAGGGAGAAGGGGGGAGGGTGTGGGCAGAGGAGAGGCCCCAGGGAGAGACACGGGTGCAGAGCAGAGCAAAGAGTGAGGAAGGTGCGGAGTGAGAGTGTGTAAGCAGGTGTGGGCGAGGGGCTGGAGAGAGGAGGAGAGGGGCGGGAGTTCGGGCGAGAGGGCGGCAGGGGCTGAGCGGAGAGAGCGCGGGCAGACACGCACCTGCACGCGAGCACCTCCGGAGGCCGGGAAGGGGGCGGCCCCGGCCGAGGACCCGGTGCAGGGGTGGAGGGGGAGGAGGCCAAGGGTGGAATCTGAGAGGCAGGGACAGTGTGAGCCAGGGAGGCAGGGGTGGGAGGCAGCCTGAGGCCAGGGCGGGCGGTGGTCTGCCGGAGTCCCGGCCCTGCCCGCTGCTCGCGCCTCTCTCATCTCCACTGCCTGGCAGCCACCCCTCAGGGGTTTTTTTTTGTGCGTGTGTGACCCAGGGAGAGAAAAATGGACAAGTGGGGAAAAGAGAGGCTGTACAGAGCCAAAGGTGTGGCAGAGCAAGGGGCTGGGTGAATAAAGTGGGAAGGGAAGGGGGGGCAGCAAGAGGGGAGACAGAGAAAGAGATGTTCAGAGATAGACAGAGGGACAGAGGGACAGAGAGAGACAGAGGAGGACAGAGAAGGAGGCCGAGAACGACCCAGAAGAGGGAAGGGAAGTTGAGCGTGCCCTTCCCAGTCAGGGGCACCGTCCCTTAGTCCCCTGGCTGCAGACCAAGGAATGGTACAGCTGCGGGGGCTGGGTGGGGGGCAAGCCGGTCATCGATGGTCCGGGACCCGGCAGGACATGGAGTGAGCTTCATTAACCATCACATCCACCACAGGACTGTCGGCTCGGAGGCGGGATGAGAGTGTCACCAGCCTGCAGAGCTGGCTGCCTGTCCTGTGGGTTATCTGGTGTCTGCCAGGGCCTCCCAGCTGTTGCAGCAGCAACAGGAGACAGGGGAGGGGTGGGGGTGGGCAGGGGTGACCGCCTGGAGGGGGGGGGGGGACAGAGAGTGACGGAGCCGCTCCGGGAAGACGGAGGGCGGGGAACCCGAGGGGGAGATGGCGGGTTATAGCCCTCGGGCCAGAGGTGGGGCCGAGAGGGACCCTGACATCGGAGGAAAGGGTGGGGAGTATAAAAATGGACGGAAAGAAGGTACAGGGGTGAGGACAGACTGGGAGGGACAGAGGAGACCCCCGTGGGGGAGGAGGGGATGGGCGGAGGGGCAGAGACAGGGACAGAGCGGACGTGACCGCTGCAGGCAGGAGGAGCGGGGAGGCGGCGTGAGGACCCCGGGGAGGGAAGGGAACTGGAGGCGACGGGGCCGGAGGAGGAGCGGGGTGCAGAGGGCGAACCTGGGCGCAGAGGCCCCCAGCCTTGGCGGGCTGGGGGAGGGAGGAGACGTTTCCAGAGGG